TTTCTTCTTGTACGCCTCTACCTAAGGAATCTGATTTGAATCAGTATTTCACGATATTTCATTACAATTTCTAACAATAAATGAACTATTCATTCTTTCGAGTCCCACGACGTGAAGAGATTAATCAAATTTTTATGAGATCTCATCAGTTGTAAAATTTGAGAATTAACCCAATTTGCATTTTTTCTTATTTAATTTTAATCCCGACAGACATTTTTGGTTACTGCGTAAGTGTATTACAATGTAATTGTCTTTTATAGTAAAAAAAAGTCACTCGTATTATCACAGGTGTATCACGGTATAGGTAACAGTTAATAGTGACGACAAAAGAAGGTTGATAAAGGCCTGCAATTGTATGTATAATAAAGTAACATTTCTGATTTTTTTTTTGAAACGTTGAAGCTTTGGACATTAATCTTCGGAATAAAGATCAATTGCTTTTGGAATTATGCTTACGTTAATGCATTCCTGATCTAAAAGAATGGATTTGAGAAACACAAGTGCTTTTATCGTGTGCACCTAGGTAGAATTTTAAGAAATTTGGTAAATGATTTCACGGCCGCCTGTACATAGGAGTGGAGGTTTAAAATAATAAAATATATTTTTAAAATAATAGAGTTTTAAAAACCGCTCAAGAATTACCTCTGGAGTCTGGACTACCATTCCTGCACAGTAATGCACATAATATGTTTATAGATTAATAATTTCACTTCAATGGTTTGTTTGCAATTTTTTTCATTTCATAATCTTAATCGGCGATGGTGCCAGGCACGGATTTACTGGAGGGGTGATCGTGGTAATTTCCCCTCTCATAAACTACACAGAGCAAACATTTTTTAGATCAAGGATCCTAAATGGACCATAACAAAGCATTAGAAATTTCAGATCTGATTTTAGGAAACCTAAATCGCACCTATTGACCAATGCCACACAAAATTTGGAAATGTCATACTCTCTCAATTAAACACGAGCTCGCGAGTGGCGCGAATCAGAAAATGTTAGTTTCACGTACATTTCCTAAACCATTATCCATTGTGTTGTATCAATCAACCATCAATTTTTTTTTTCTTCCTTTTAGCATTTACAAATAACGTGCAGTCGAAATGTCAAACTCTAAATAAAATGTTGATTGTCATTTATTGGTATATGCCAAGGTAGCTGATAACCAAGCTGGATTTGCTTTTTCGTTTTTATTTCAAAAATTCAAAATAATACGTTAAAATACAATGCAGGTTGTTCGCGCTTATTGCACATATCAAAAGATACAGTCATTAACGCTCAAAATATTTGGCAATAATGATAAAGAATCAACCCGCACAATTTCATCGTAATATGTCCACTTGTTTTCGAGATATCGTGCTAACGGACAGACCGACGGACGGACGGACACAGCAAAATTATACATTCGCTAGGAGCTCGTTAATAAACGAAGGAAAGAATTTAAGAAGTACAAAGAAACAACAGAATTTGAAGAATCAGAGGACACTAAACGAAAAGAAAATAACTTGAAAATCCGTAACATCGGAAATAATCGGAGAAGTCCGAAGAGTCTGAAGAATTTAAAGAAAGAAAAGAATCGAAAGAATGAAATTAACTTTCAAAACCTAAATTCAAAGATCCCTAGATATCAAATTTCGTTGACATCTTGTGGTAGACATTTTGAAAAAGAGTTACAAAGTTACCTAAACTGTTTGAGACCGTACCTTGTAAACGCAAAATTAGCCCATTTATATGAAAATATAACTGTGCTTTAGTCCCCCTATCACACACATTTTTGGACATACTTACACTTTATTCCGGTAGTCTATACCCTGTTACTGCTACTATGAACAATTACTCTTAATTTACAACAGGCGATTTGTAGATTCTTTATGCCTTATATCGTTACTATGGCAATAGTGTTAAGTTTGACGTTTAAATTATCTTTACCCTACATTATAACATTTAATTTGCTTAAATAATTACTTTTACATTGGGTCCTTGGGATTTTCGATCATGTTAATTGCTTGTGAGTAAAAATACTATACTATTTCACTCCCACTGTAGACTGCGCATTGTAGTCCGAAAACTCTTACTTATTGTGAAATAGCTATCGATCACCACAAAAGCCAGTATCCAGTGGAAAGTGGTGCAATTACAAGGGTAATTATCTTCGTAATTATAGATATTTCATAAATTCCCAAGAATAGAATTTTCTTTGCTAAATAAATACCTACTAAAATTCCTGACCAATAAAATGTTGGCAAAATAATAACATTAGTTTCACCAAAATTATAAATTATTTAGACATAACCTCAAACCAACAAAAATATTTGGTGTACTAAAAAAATAACTTTATATACTATAGGTAATTACGAGGGTAATTATAACTATATCTCGAACTATATACTAGGTATGTACCTATATCAATACTATAAATAATAAATAATACCTAATACTAGTCTCGTTACTAGTCAAGTCAACAACTTTTTTATATTCCACAGTTATCAATTTCGCTCTCGATTTCGCTGTTTCTGTACAAGGTTTAATTTTTATAGTATGTATAACAACTGATGCAGATTCGTTTAATTTTATTGATTCATTGTCTACGTGTTACAGCATCATTATACAAATCCCAATTGAAATTTGTGAATTTTGGAGGATGGAAACGTACAAATCGATAAAAATTATTCTTGCAATGATTCAATTCTACTGATGTATCGAAGGAAGGGTGCATTCGCCATCTCGATAAACAATTGTATACAAATGATTGTCGAAAATTAATGTGAATATTTTTAGTAATACATTTTGTAATGCTAAAACTCAACATTTGGTATTAACCGTTAAACGAACCAAAGTATTAAGCGAACGCAGAGAGCTTGGATTATTGGGCGTAACACTTGATTCGGAGTTGAAGTGGGACCAACATGTTAACGTTCAGCGTGTTAAATTAGCTAGAGCACTATTTTTGATTCGCAATTTAATAAGGGTGACTACGAAGGAAACTGTGGCATATTTCATTCGGTATTATCTTATGCAATTCTTGCATGGGGCCATTCTGCCCACTCTCGAGTATTATTTGGTTTGCAGCGCAAATGTATACGATTATTAAAAACCTTAAATACAGAGATTGTTGTCGTCAGGGTTTTATCGAATTAAATATATTGACATTACCTTGCATTTACATACAGCAATGTTTAATATATACTAAAGAACACATGACTACACTAACTGTAAGCACCGATATTCATACTTACAATACAAGGAACAAAGAGAATCTTTATATACCGTTTCATAGATTAAACAAGACCAAAGATGGCACTACATTTTACGGCATGAAATTTTTCAATGCCTTGCCAAAACAAATAAAATATTTAGATTTGCACGCATTTAAAAACTGTGTAAATAGTTGCCTTAAACGAAAAGCTTTTTATTCTTATGAAGAATTTTTAAAAGATAAATTTGATAACATTTAAGTTTTAAAAGCAACAGTACCTTGTGTGATCATGTTCTCGTGTCCTTTGTCTTTTTTTTTTAATACTATGTAATTGTACCTGATGACGTGTGAAAATACTATTGTATAGATCACAAATAATAAAATGAAAAAATGAAAAAAATAATGAACCAGATTTCTTCTGCTCCCAAATGATTGAAGTTCATCAGTTGCATCTTGCAATGATATTGATGCATTCTGATCATCGCCAAGCCAAACGCTTCACTGTATCACTAACACGTTAAATTTTTGTTTTGCAGTTAAATGGGAAAAATATGCGAATTTCTTCTTGTAAGCAACGAAGAATTTGGAATCACCTAATCAGTATACCACTATACAGTTCATGAACTTATTCTTTTTTTTATTAGATTGTTTACTCATTCCTTTGGCATACATGTAGTGTACATAGGAGGCGTCAACGAGGTAAGAATAAAATATAAGAAATATATACATGTCACACATAAAATATAAAAAGTAAATCACATATATCACACAGGTATATCGCAGTAGTTACAGCATTTTCTACATCCATCCACATATTCGTCAATGGTGTAGAAGCAGTTAGGTACGTATTAAAAACTTTTTTACTTCCCTACGAAATATACCCAGGGACTTGCAGGCTTTAAGTTTTTCCGGGAGCAGGTTGTACATGTGTCTTCAGTTAGGGTTACTTCGTAACTGTTACAATGTTATGGTCTATGGATAATCCTCTTTAAAGTAAAAAGATTTTTTATACCACGCGCCATCTACCAGATAAATCTTATTTATGCCTCCAATTTCGTTACTGATTTTTGCAATTAAATTAGCTGGTGATAATGGTGTCCACAATGTTATAAGTAAACGGCGCCATTTAAATTGTTTAAAATAATGATTTCTAACAACAAAGTTTATATCAAAATGTTTCAATTTAAAATTTTAATGAAATAGCGCCGTTTACCGATAAATTGAATTACCTTGTTAAAAACCGCATGAGGATCGAATTAAAAATAAGGAAATCGCGTATCTTTGGGGTATCCAATCCTCTTAACGAAAAAATATTTCAACTCAATTATTATCATAGGTATAGGTGTAGTTAATATTGACCGCAAAAAGGTGTATAAGCCTACAATTTTTCGTTTACCTAGGGATATCGTATATCAACAGAGCGCTGTTTTTGATAAGATTATTGTTTGTTCATGTTCCCATAGTAATGAATGAAAGTAAAGTAATATTTCTGACGTTTTTGAGACTTTGGACGATAATCTACGGAACCGAGATCATTTGCTTGTGAGATAATCATAGGCCTTAGGGCGACACACAATTCGATAAGTGATGACGATTTACAAATAGTAAATATTAACGGTGTCAATGTCAATAATCTATTTTCTTGCGCCGTGGGGTTAAAACATTTCTAATCTAAAAGAGTAGAGTTTAAAACAGCACGTGTTTTTCTTTAAATCCTTGGAATTCGTACTATGGATTGAGTTTAAAATAACTGTATAAAAAGATATTAAAAATCAAAAACCTAGCAAATAAGTTTAAAAATTACCTATGGATTTCTAATCCTGCACATTAATGCACCTAGAAAGTTTATACAATAAAAATTTCACTTCACTGATGCGTTTGTAATTTAAAAAAATTCAATTGGTCACTAGCCGCGGTATTTTTTTAAAATCGAAATGCGCACACCGGCGACACAAACGCTCAAATGATATCTGAAGAGTAGATGGACATGCGAATTTCTATCTACGAATGAACTCGAACACCGTTATCAGAAGTACCTAATGGTGCTTCGTGCAGTAAAGACAACAATAAATGTCATGATTCACTTCCAGTGATTTGAATACCGTGGTGGGGAAATCCGGGTCAAAACGAGGGCTACTCGGTTTATAATTGTAATCGGCGTAATATATTACATAGAACTTCTTTACAGGTAACTACAGAAGTACCTTTTTCAAAAATTCAAAATAAGGCGCTAAAACGCGATGAAAACTTTTGGCGCGTGATTTGAATTTATTACTTAAGTTAAGTAACCATGTGACCACACTTACCTGGGATCGTTTGCAGTCGACTCACCTGACTTTACTTTCGTCATTCCACGAAAACTTATCGTGTGCTCTTTGTTTAGCCAAAGATTCATTCGTATTTCACTTTTCCCTTGTTGAGTACCTACCTTGAACATTCTTTTGTTAGTGCGATTATAAGTTTTTTAAAATTTCGAGGTGAGTCTTCTTACTTCATTTTTTCACAGTTAGGAAGGTGGAATTAAATGTTGGGTTATTAAATTATTTTTTGTGCGCACCTATTTATGCTCATTCAAGGACATTAATTATTATCCTAACCTGTACAGTGTAAATGTCCATTCCCGACAAAATTTACACTTTATTTGTTCCTTTTAATTCTAGCGTATCATGTATCCTAATAAGTGTAATTGTCTTATCAGTAAAGATAACATTGTTGTCTAAGTACATATTAAAAGCGAGTTCCAATATTATTTTTTGTTTTTAGGACACCCGCAGACAACGGCAATGATACGCAACATTCTTCTACTTGTGTTGTTAACAACTAGTGCCAGTGCTTTCTGCCCGACAAACTGTAACTGCACTGACAATTCCGCAATATGCAATTCGGCGAATTACACCCGTTTCGAGGGTGTCATATTGAGCCTCAAAATTTCGAACCCCAACGAACCCATAGCAATTAAAGGGCAAGTATTCAATGTCAGCGGTCTAGAGCACTTAAACTCGATCTCGATCGAACATGCCTCAATTCTGGCCATCGATGGGAAGGCCCTTAAACCGCTCTCATCCTTATCCTCCTTACGCATAAACAATTCCTCAATTCCCGTAATCGGTAATTCAAACATGCTTGCCGATGCAGACGAATTGCGTATGCTACAAATTACGAACTCCGCCTTGCGTAAATTAGAATCCCTCGCTTCAAATTTCTTAGAAGAAATTGATTTGTCAGGAAATTACCTTACGGCAATCACACAAAAAACTTTCGCCAATCTTCCTTATCTCACATTCATAAACCTAGACAAAAACTACATCTCGTCTGTCGATCACGGCGCTTTCTCCAACTTACCAAATCTGCAAGACGTTACAATGACACATAATAATATATCGGATCTTCCGCGAGACCTTTTTCAAAATAACACCGAGATCATTTCTATCAATCTATCCCATAATCCGCTAAAGAGAATTGATTTAAGCCTACTAGACGCGGATTTAGAAAAGTTGGTACTCCAATCTTGTCAACTGCAGACGTTCGGGGACGACCTCTCCAAAAGTCTAATGGCACTTAACCATCTGGACCTAAGCAATAACTCTCTTAATCTAACGTACGGATTTTTCGATAAAATGGAAGAGTTAGTATATCTCGATTTATCCCGTAATAACTTGACAAATCTGGACCCGCTCGTAATTCAATTCAATGTCAGACTTCAAAAAATTATTCTCGACTACAACCATTTTAGGGAGTTCCCCGAATTACAAATTACAACATTACAAAATGATTTCATCACCGACTATTTCTCGTGCGGCCATTGCGGTATTTCCCAAATGGCCAGAGACGCTTTCAAACATTTTCCCTCTCTAGTTACACTTAACCTGTCGCATAACAAACTAAATGAAGCCAATCTCGCTATATTCCAGCGGCTACCTAGGCTGGTTAAATTAGACCTGTCGTACAACGATATTTCGCGTATACCTTCTTCGACATTTGTCAATTCCATCGCATTAAAAACAGTTAACCTGGCCGGAAACTTCTTAAAAAGCATCGACACTAATATTTTCAAACGTAATCTCGCCCTTAAAACTTTGGACGTTAGTTTTTGTGGATTACGCCAACTTTGGCAACAACCGATAAAGACAAATTTGAAAGCGTTGCACCAATTAAGAATCGTAAACAATTCCTTAACTTCGGTAACCACTCGTGATTTTGAAGTAATTCCTTCTCTGCAAGAACTCGACCTTTCCCATAATCCATTGCGTTGCGATGAAATATTGCATAACGCCACATCTTGGTTAAACAAGCATAATGTTCAACCACTTCTCGATTCGCTTCAATGGAAAACTCACGAAGAACTAAACGATTATGAAAATCAAGGGAAGGCACTTTCCTCTTGGAGATTCTTGGTAAAGGAGAGATGCTTGGACGACTACTTTTTTGATACCTTTAACGATGATGAAGAAGACAACAACAAATCAACAGTTGAAGACAGCGATGAGGACGAGTATGACGAATGTGGCGATGAATACTTCCGCTCCATTCATTTTAAAGCTGATCGGCAAACGGAATATCCACTATATGAAATAATTTTTATATTCGTCGCCACTGCCGTAACAGTCGTCTTGCTTGTCGTCAACATCTTCCTCTACTGTTACAGAAGAAAATTGGTACCCGTGAAGGTCCCACACGTCAAAATTCCCTGGTTTAACTCTATCAATCGGCACAAGCATAGCGGTTCCGTTTATCAGCCCCTTTCGGAAGAAAAGAGTGAGTCAACACTTAACAATGACGTGCTGCCTCACGTTCCAGTGCATGGTGTGTAGAGGACTTTTTAGGCATCTAACTCATAATTTTTTTTAAATTTTAATTCAGAAGACTTAATGTGAGGAGTAGTTTTTAGTTTCCGACTTAGAAATGTAGCTATTGTTGTTATTTTTTAATGTTTTCTTTTGTTGCAGCATTTACGTGAAAAATGTAATGTTGAGAAATAGATAAGCCATTTTTAAAATGGAAAATTATTTAATCAGTAGAATTTATCTTATCATGTTAGTCATAAAGTTCATATAAATATAACTAACTGTTAAACGTATTGTACTTAATAGGTACATTATTTTATCAAAACTTTCGAAAAATCCAAAGCTTAGTACATAATTTTGATTAGACTTTTACATCTGTAAGCCTTATAAAATAAATTGGTTTACCATTATTTTTTGTTATGCTTAATTTTTGAAAGTCATTTTGGTACAAGTTACCTTATGCCAGAGTGACTTTATCGTACACAGCATTAGGATTAGGAAATTATTCAGAGCTTCGACGTCGGATAAATGGAAAAATAGTATATACTGCATAGATGAAAAACCAAAATCAACTCGTCAAAAGCCGATAAATTCATTATTATAAGAGATAAAAAAATTGCAAAGGAAAAAACGTACAGCTTCACGTTCAAGTAAATGCGGTGCAGAATAATTTTCTCAATCCTACAGTTGTTGAGAAACAGCGACAAGCTGAGCTGATTACTTATGGGAAGCTAATGTGAATAGATTTTTAGTTATACAAGAGTCCGTTTCAGATAAAATATGTATTGGCAGATTTACTTGACCTTCGGTTATACTGAAAGTTGACTTAGACTACTACAAATGGCCCTAATGCTATCGTTTCTATGATCGATTAAGTTTAAATGATCCGTAAGCAACCCCAAAACTGCCCTCTATAATTCCGTTCTTGTTTTAACGTCATTTTCTGGAAATTTCACACTAACATGCATAGAAATTCTTCACTGCAGACGTTGTAACTTTTGTAGTGGACCAAATGTTTTTGTTTCTTTGATCGATTATGTTTAAACGATCTATAAGCATCCCCAAAATTGCCCTCTAAAAATAAAGTTCATCTCGCGTTTTAATTATGCGTAATTTTTAGATATTTCACTCATACATGCAAAGCAATGGTTGATTTGAGGGGGTTGTAATTTTTGCAGCCCACCGAATATTTGTTTTTCTTTAATCGATTATGTTTAAAATATCTATAAGCAACCCTGAAACTTCCCTTTAGGAATAAAATTCATTCTCGATTAAAACTTACGCAATTTTCTCGAAATTTTATACTTACATGCATAGCAATCCTCGGGTACAGGGGTTGCAACTTTTGTATTGGTTCAAATGTTTTTGTTTCTTTGATTGATCATGTTTAAAGGATCTATAAGCATCCTCAAAACTGCCCTATAAAGATAAACTTCACTTTCGTTTTAAACTTACGTAATTTACTTAGATATTTCACTCATATACGTGCATAGCAATGTTTAATTTGGGGGGTTGTAACTTTTACAGCCCACCGAGTATTTGTGTTTCTTTGAACGATTATCTTTAAATAATCTATAAGCATCCCCAAAACTGCCCTCTAAAGATAAAGTTCATTCTCGTTTTAAACTTACGTAATTTTTTTAGATATTTCACTCTTACATGCAAAGCAATGGTTGATTTGGGGGGTTGTAACATTTGCAGCCCTCCGAATATTTGTGTTTCTTTAAACTATTATGTTTAAACGATCTATAAGCAACCCCGAAACTTCCCTTGAGAAATAAAATACATTTTCGTTTAAAACTTACGTAATTTTCTAGAAATTTCATACTTACACTTATTGCAATCCTCGGTTGCAGGGGTTGTAACTTTTGTATTGGTTCAAATGTTTATGTTTTTTGATTGATTATGTTTAAACGATCTATAAGCATCCCCAAAACTGCCCTCTAAAAGTAAAGTTCATCTCGTTTTAAACTTACGTAATTTTTTATATATTTCGCTCATACATGCATAGCAATGGTTGATTTGGGGGGTTGTAACTTTTGCAACCCACCGAATATTTGTGTTTTTTTAATCGATTATGTTCAAAAGATGTATAAGCAACCCCGAAACTTCCCTTTAAGAACCAAATCCATTTTCCTTTAAAGCTTATGCAATGTTCTAGAAATTTCTTACTTACACTCATTACAATCCTCGGGTGCAGGGGTTGTAACTTTTGTATTGGTCCAAATGTTTATGTTTCTTTGATCGATTATGTTTAAACGATTAAAGAAACAAAGATGTATAGGCAACCCCGAAATTTCCCTTTAGGAATAAAATCCATTTTCGTTTAAAGCTTATGCAATGTTATAGAAATTTCTTACTTACACGCATAGCAATCCTCGATTGCAGAGGTTGTAACTTTTGTATTGGTCAGTGATCAATTATGTTTAAACGATCTATAAGAATCCCCAAAACTGCCCTCTAAAATTAAAGTTCATTCTCCTTTTAAACTTACGTAATTTTTTTAGATATTTCACTCATACATGCAAAGCAATGCTTGATTTGGGGGGTTGTAACTTTTGCAGCCCACCGAATATTTGTGTTTCTTTGAACTATTATGTTTAAAAGATCTATAAGCAACCCCGAAACTTCCCTTTAGAAATAAAATACATTTTCGTTTAAAATATACGTAATGTTCTAAAAATTTTATACTTACCTATACACTCATGCAATCCTCGGCTGCAGGGGTTGTGACTTGCGTATTGGTTCAAATGTTTTTGTTTCATTGATCGATTATGTTTAAACGATCTATAAGCATCCCCAAAACTGCCCTCTAAAGATAAAGTTCATTCTCGTTTTAAACTTACGCAATTTTCTCGAAATGTTATACTTATAGGCATAACAATCCTCGACTGCAGGAGTTGTAACTGTTGTATTGGTCCAAATGTTTTTATTTCATTGATCAATGATGTTTAAACAAGCTATAAGCATCCTCAAAACTGCCCTTTAGGAATAAAATACATTCTCGTTTAAAACTTATGCAATTTTCTAGATATTTCTTTCTTAAACGCATAATCATCGTCGGCTGCGGGGGTTGTAACTTTTGTACTGGTTTAAATCTTTTTGTATCTTTGATTGATTATGTTTAAAGGAATTATACGCATCCCCAAAACTGCCCTATAAAAATTAATTTCATTTCGTTTTAAACTTACGTAATTTTTTAGATATTTCACTCATACATGCATAGCATTGGTTGATTTGGGGGGTTGTAACTTTTGCAGCCCAACGTATATTTGTGTCTCTTTGATCGATTATGTTTAAATGATCTATAAGCATCCCCGAAACTTCTCGCTGGAAATGAATTTCGTGTTCGTTTTAAACTTACGTAATTTTCTAGCAGTTTCACACTTACATGGAAAGCATTTGTTGAATAGGGGGGTTGTAATTTTTACAGCTCACCGAATAATTGTGTTTCATTAATCGATTATGTTTAATAGATCTATAAGGAACCTCGAAACTTCCCTTTAGGGATAAAATCCATTCTCGTTTAACAGTTAGGCAATTTTTTAGAAACTCCATATACTTACACCATATCAATCCCCGGCTGCAGGGGTTGTAACTTGTATTAGTCCAAATGTTTTTGTTTCAGTGATCAATTATGTTTAAACGATCTATAAGCATCCCCAAAACTGCCCTGTAAAATTAAAGTCCATTCTCCATTTAAACTTACGTAATTTTTTTAGATATCTCACTCTTACACGCAAAGCAATGGTTGATTTGGGGGGTTGTAACTTGTGTAGCCCACCGAATATTTGTTTTTCTTTAATCGATTATGTTTAAAAGATCTACAAGCAACCCCGAGACTTCCCTTTAGGAATAAAATTCATTCTCGTTTAAAACTTATGCAATTTTCTCGAAATTTTATACTTACACGCATAGCAATCCTCGCCTTTAGGGGTTGTAACTGTTGTATTGGTCCAAATGATTTTATTTCTATGATCGATTATGTTTAAACGAGTTATAAGCAACCCTGAGACTTCCCTTTAGGAATAAAATTCATTCTCGTTTAAAACTTATGCAATTTTTAGCGCATTTTTGCAAAAAATTTTTTTTGTAAAAAGTAGCTTTTAATCTCACTTTGGCTGGCTGGCTGGCTGGCTGGCTGGCAGCAAATGTGGGGGCGTAGAAGAACTCTTGTAGAAAGGCAACGGGTGTACGTGTATCTACAGGGCCGTGAAATTTGTCAACCTTAGGGACATGGCTACATGATGTGGGGTTGGCGACATCTGGGCGTCATCCTCGAGCGTAGTATACTAACGTGAAGGTTTTTCAGTTTTTTCCTATCTTCTACTACAGTTTTGGTCCGATTCTTTTGAAATTGGTGTCGTCGGAAAGATGTTGTAAACGCGCACAACTCCTGCGTGGCGGAATTTTGTTTTTTGTCATAGGGGCGAAATTAACGACCTTTTGCGAGGCGGCGCGCGCGTCTTCGAGAAGTAGTCAGGCGCCTTTTACCTTCCGTTGCGAACTCACGCGGTTTAACGTTTCGTGAATCTCGAATCGCTGTCTCTCTTTCTCGTGTCGCCAATAGAAGTGAATTGCGAGTGAACGGGACGTCGGAAGTGGGTACCGTAAAAGAGAATGTGGTAGCCCGCGACACGATCTCACTGATGGTGGAGTCAAATCTTCAAACGCGAATTGCGAGTGAACGGGACGTCGGAAGGGGGTACCGTCAACGGGAATGTGGTAGCCCCCGAAACGATCTTCCTGATGGTGGAGTCAAATCTTCAAACGCGAATTGCGAGTGAACGGGACGTCGGAAGGGGGTACCGTCAACGGGAATGTGGTAGCCCCCGACACGATCTCCTGATGGTAGAGTCAAATCTTCAAACGCGAATTGCGGGTGAACGGGACGTCGGAAGTGGGTACCGTAAAAGGGAATGTGGTAGCCCGCGACACGATCTTCCTGATGGTGGAGTCAAATCTTCAAACGCGAATTGCTGGGTGAACGGGACGTCGGAAGGAGGTACCGTCAAAGGGAATGTGGTAGCCCCCGACACGATCTTCCTGATGGTGGAGTCAAATCTTCAAACGCGAATTGCGGGTGAACGGGACGTCGGAAGTGGGTACCGTAAAAGGGAATGTGGTAGCCCGCGACACGATCTCACTGATGGTGGAGTCAAATCTTCAATCGCGAATTGCGGGTGAACGGGACGTCGGAAGGAGGTACCGTCAAAGGGAATGTGGTAGCCCCCGACACGATCTTCCTGATGGTGGAGTCAAATCTTCAAACGCGAATTGCGGGTGAACGGGACGTCGGAAGGGGGTACCGTAAAAGGGAATGTGGTAGCCCCCGACACGATCTTCCTGATGGTGGAGTCAAATCTTCAATCGCGAATTGCGGGGAACGGGACGTCGGAAGGGGGTACCGTCAAAGGAAATGTGGTAGCCCCCGACACGATCTTCCTGATGGTGGAGTCAAATCTTCAACCGCGAATTGCGGGTGAACGGGACGTCGGAAGTGGGTACCGTAAAAGGGAATGTGGTAGCCCGCGACACGATCTCACTGATGGTGGAGTCAAATCTTTAAAAGCGAATTGCGGGTGCACGAGGAAAGTGGGAAGCGGTTAGTGAATGTAGTAGCCTTCGACAAGATCTGTTATTGATGGTTGAATCGAAAGGGGCTAATAGAATACTGATCTGCCACACAAAAATGCGCTGAAGTCCCTTCGATCTCAAACGAGGACTTTGATAATTTTTTTTATATTGTGATATAGATATGCATCATGTAGGCGAAAATGTTTGAAGAATATTATTAAGAAATTTGAAGTTATTCCACAGCTTAAAGTAAGCTGTGGAATAACTTCAACCTCGTGGCGCAAATGGAAAAACTTTGTAGCATCTACTGTAACGAGAGCTTTTAAATTTTGATTTAAACTTTTCGACTTTTTTGCAGAAATAAGTAAAGTAGGAGTTGTCCTTATTCTTAGTCGTCTTAGAAAAGCAGGTGTCGCGTTGGAGTCCGATGGTTATCTCAGATTTTATCTTTTTAGGGGGGCCTATTGGGTTTAGAGCTTGGCGCAGTAATAAAACACCAGGGGGTGGGAACTGCAAGATATACAGTTTTGAGCTGCGTAGGAAGGTAACGAAAAAGTTAAACATTTGCCGTGTCGAATTCGAGCACGCTACAACTAGCCGATTTAAATGATTCGTGTTGGAGGCATCGCCACCAATATTTGTATTGTAAATGAAGACAACAAGGGTTCCGGGAATTATTATTACCAAAAGGAAACTTCGGAAGTGAATATAAAGAAAACGTGGCAATTGTACCCACCTATTAAAAACAACACGAACTATCGCGAAATTGCAGAGGAAGTGACGACTAATTAAGTGTTAAATAAAACACATGCTCCTTCCATAAATATATGACTTATGATTTTTAAACGGCTGCTTGTGGATTTTATCAACAAAATCAATCAAATAACGAAAATATTTGAAGTACTACAAAAATTACAGCCCCCACAATAAACGGATTGTTATGTAAAAGTGTTTTTTTTTAATTCTAATTTTTGAAACTTAACTTTTGGAAATTTTATATTCCTTCTAAATTTCGTTTGTGCTGGGACGAACGTCTGTCAACTCGGACGCCACCAAGGGATGCTACAACCTTGCTCCTTGTGCAGGTCGGGGAGTAGGAATATAGTTTGGCAGATCAGTCTCGGAAACCTCGCCTCGCCTGGCCATATCTTCCTTCGCCCCGGAAAACATCCACTTTACCGCCTTAGTACACAAAGTCGATCGCCACAAAAATACTTCCAGATCCAGAAAGAGTGTATTCCCCCACTGTATGTTCAAATTCTATAGCTCATACCGTACCTAACAATATTTTAAATGCGAAATATAGTGAATCTGCACAAAGGTTCACTCAAGCCATCATTAACTTTTGCATTGCATCTTTTTATACCTCTCATTGAAAAGAGCAAACCAATTTTGTCGGCAACACCCATTATCAATTAGTCATTTGTGTGTATCTAAGCAACCATAATTAAATGTCGCTGATTGTCAATGTCAGATATTTTTGAAAGCGGCGTACGAAACTCAGTTTGTAAACGAATAACTGGTGAAAGTAAGTAGAAATTATATCCGAAATACTAATATTTACGCATTTCAATTGTTTTAGCTTATCGCTGATCTTAAAAATCGAGATTTAACAGAAAATTGGAGCCCCTAATTGGATATGCGTTGCCCATCAGTAGGGGATGTTGTGGCAGTAGTTTGCATGGGTACTATCTTTGTCCTTTTAGGACTCTATGGCTATTACGTAATGGTACCCGTTCTTAAATACCTGCCTCTATATGTTGTTTCTGTTATTAAAATAACTCACGATATATTTTCAAAGGAACCGTTGAGAACTTTCGACTCAATGCTGTTGCCATATATGTTCCATCCAAAGGTAAATGAAAAAACCTATGCCACAAAGAACCTACTTTCCTGCCCAAAGAAAGGTAAATATGTTCAGCTTGTGGTAGTGATTCCATCGGCACCATATCGCGAAAGTGCTCGCATGTCCATAAGACAGACATGGGGACGCTTTGGAATTAGAAAAGATATATCGATATTTTTCTTAATTGGCAAAACGTATACTAAAAAAACTGAGAAAAACGTCGATAAGGAATCGCGCCTATATAAAGACATTTTGATGGGAAATTTTCACGACAAATATGAAAACTTGCCCCTTAAAAGTGTAACTATGTTAAGATGGGTAAGGGATCACTGTCCGTCAGCCAAATATCTACTGAAAAGCGATGACGATGTGTTTGTTAATATACCACGTTTGCTTAAATTTATAAAAAAATTAAACCCAAAGAAACGGGCCATTTATGGTCGTATACACAAAAACGCCAAACCCGTTCGCAATCCTAAAGGAAAGCATTACTTACCCTATAAGGAATACAAAGACAAATTATTACCGGACTTTGCCAACGGACCGGCTTACCTGATACCTGTCTCTGTGGTAGATGAATTATATCAAGCTACGTTGTACCACCAAATAATTAGACTGGAAGATGTGTTCTTGACTGGCATAGTAGCCGGTAATCTAGGCATTGAAAGAATTAACAATTACGAATTTCGATCTGAGATTACCAATTTGTGGTGCCTTCTTCAAAGATCTATTTCGATTCACAAGGTTCCTGAACTCAAGCTATATGAATATTGGGAAGAAACTTTTTATGCCAAAAAAATGTGCGACAGATTCAACTAAATTTATTTACTTACTTACGTATTTATTCTGTATTATTATTAAAAATAGTTGTAATTGTAAACTGCAGTAACAATTCCAATAAAGATTTATTTTCGTACTGATTTGATTTTCATAGACTTTTTTTTTATATTGTGATATAGATATGTTTCATGAAGGCGAAAATGTTTAAAGAATTTCTTCAACCTCGTCGCGGAAATGGAAAAACTTTGTAGTATCTACTGTAACGAGAGTTTTTAGATTTTGATTTAAACTTTTCGACTTTTTTGCAGAAATAAGTAAAGTAGGAATTGTCCTTATTCTTAGTCGCCTCAGAAAGGCAGTTGTCGCGTTGGATGATTATCACAGATTTCACTTTCTTAAGGCCTATTATGTTTCGAAGCGTTGCGAAGGAAAACCACGGGATTGGAAACTGCAAAATCTACAGTTTTGAGTGGCGTAGGAAGGTAATATGAATGGCCTTAAATAAACTACCTGGGATGGATAGTATAAGAAAAGATATTAAGCAATGTCCGCCGGAATGGAAGATCCGTCATTAAATTATTAGCTGCATGACTATACGGAAACCCATACGTCACAGCAACGAAAAGGAAGTCAATTTTCGAAGCAACTGTAAAGAGTCCTTATTCAAAAAAGTTAAAAAATTTGCTGTTTCGAATTCGAGTATACGTTACAGCAAGCCGAAGACAACAGGAGTTATTATTACAAAAGGAAATTCGGAAATAAATGTAAAGAAAACGTAAAGGAGTGAAGAAAGCCCATTAAGACACAATAAATGGCCAATTGTTAAGTATTTATATCAATTTTTTTTCCTATTTATGAATATTGACGAACTTCACTAACTTTGGCGTATTAATTAAAGCGTGTTTTGTTCGTAACTTTTATATTACGAGGGTATACCAGAACGGATTAAAGTCAGAAGAAAAAAATCAATGACCAGACCTTAGTAGGTAATCCATTTTTTCCGAAAGAGAAAGGTCGTAGTCTACAAGGTAATATTGTTTTGGATTTATGTACAAGTAAAATTTCAACCTGATTTACGTCTAGAAGTTATTAAGAATCTAAATTTCAATATATTTCAAGTGATTTTACTGTGTATGGAAATATGATAAATTGGAGTTGGTTAAAAGAAAGTTAATGTTATATTAGATATTTCATCCAGAATCAATCGAAGAAAATTCCAATTTTGGTGGGTTCATTACATTAACTGTGTATTTGGTATTTAGAATGAGATTATTCTAGATTAATTCAAGATAGGTGTGAACACAACATTATTTTTTGTAGATTCCAATTCATAGGGATAATTTAAAATCACTAAATTTGTAAATGGTAATGCAAATTGGATTTTTAAATCATTTGATTTTTATTAATAAGTAGGTACCTACTGCTTGCCATAAGTGCCTATCTAAACAGTGAACACCCAGTGTAGTTTAATCAATTTTGCTGAAATTTTTGGGAACAGTTGTATTTATTTCGAAATAAGCAACTATGAAAATTTCAACATGATACAATTACAACAAATTCAAATAACACTAATAGGGTGTAGACCATTCACTGTTTCTTGCGTATTCAGACTGGTCACGCTGGAAATTCGGGAATCGATGGTAACTTGTGATACACTGTCCCAAGATTCTAAAAGAAAAAAATTATAAAGCATTTAGCCTCCGAGCTCAGACCCATCATCAGAGCTGGGCAGTATTCGATTTTGTAAATATTATTTAGTGTTCAAATCCTTTAAAGTATTCAAACACTTTGTAATTAAATATTTTTATGGAAGCAGTATTTGTATTTGGAACTCAAATACTTTCACAAATATTTAGTATTCGAATACTTCGCAAGGTATTTGAATACTTTGAGAAGTATTCGAATACTACGCATAATATTTGAATACTTATCCTTCCTTTTTTACCAAAAATCGACTGCACCAAAATTTCTCGGGAAAAGACCTTTTCTTATTAATTTTGGTGCGTAGAATCCAAAACAATTCGTACTTTTTCGATCAGACTTCTCCAGAGCATATTTTAAAGAACTTCCACTAGGCGGCACAGCATCGGAGTGCCATACTGTGGTTTACACTCCAGTGTAAAATTTTTGAGGGCCCCAGTCGCCGCACTAAGACACCTGTTAAGGAAATGAATGTATAGGTTTTGTGTTCACCCTGTGTGTAACATTTTTGTCATACTGTAAATTGCCAGGTTTGGGCGGACTGTTCTTGCGCAGGATGGAGGGAGTGTAGGAGCATGGCAATTGCAATAAAAACATGGTAGCAAGAAGGTTGTTTTAATATATTGTCACGAGAAGCCATTCGTTTTAAGCCGAAATTAACAAAATCATACAGTCCACTCAATTCAAGGGCAAAACAACACCTCTCGGACAGATCACCAATTTGCTTTTGACAGATAACTGAAAAGTTTTTGCCACTGTTATCCTTACACACTACTGGGCGACAAAAAGTCTTTACTAGGCGGCATTAGTGTCGCCTACTTTATAGCTTAAAATATGCTCTGGACTTCTCAATCAAAAGTTATAGAAACCAATTTCGAAAGAAAATTCAAAGGGCTGTAACTTTTGAACTAGTAGCCCAATCTTGGAACTGTTTGAAATTATGGATTCTACAGGCCACATTCTATAAGAACATTTTTTTCCCGGGTCGATCTGAGACAATTTTTTCTTCGAGCCTCAAAAAAAGGCAGTGTATAACCTTCCTTTTTTACCAAAAATCGACTACACCAAAATTTCTCGAGAAAACACTTTTTCTTATTAATTTTGGTGCGTAGAATCCAAAACAATTCGTACTTTTTCGATCAGACTTCTCAATCAAAAAGTTATGGACTAGAAACCAATTTCCAAAGAAAATTCAAAGGGCTGTAACTTTTGAACTAGTAGCCCAATCTTGGAACTGTTTGAAATTATGGATTCTAAAGGCAACATTCTATAAGAAAATTTTTTTCCGGGTCGATCGGAGACAATTTTTTCTTCGAGGCTCAAAAAAAGGCAGTGTATAACCTTCCTTTTTTACCAAAAATCGACTGCACCAAAATTTCTCGAAAAAACACTTTTTCTTATTAATTTTGGTGCGTAGAATCCAAAACAATTCGTACTTTTTCGATCAGACTTCTCAATCAAAAGTTATAGACTAGAAAATAATTTCGAAAGAAAATTCAAAGGGCTGTAACTTTTGAACTAGTAGCCCAATCTTGGAACTGTTTGAAATTATGGATTCTACAGGCCACATTCTATAAGAAAATTTTTTCCCCGGGTCGATCTGAGACAATTTCTTTTTCGGGCCACAAAAAAAGGCAGTGTATAACCTTCCTTTTTTACCAAAAATCGACTACACCAAAATTTCTCGGGAAAACACTTTTTCTTATTAATTTTGGTGCGTAGAATCCAAAACAATTTGTACTTTTTCGATCAGACTTCTCAATCAAAAGTTATAGACTAGAAACCAATTTCGAAAGAAAATTAAAAGGGCTGTAACTTTTGAACTAGTAGCCCAATCTTGGAACTGTTTGAAATTATGGATTCTACAGGCCACATTCTATAAGAAAATTTTTTTTCCGGGTCGATCTGAGACAAGTTTTTTTGCGAGCCTCAAAAAAAGGCAGTGTATAACCTTCCTTTTTTACCAAAAATCGACTACACCAAAATTTCTCGGGAAAACACTTTTTCTTAATAATTTTGGTGCGTAGAATCCAAAACAATTCGTACTTTTTCGATCAGACTTCTCAATCAAAAGTTATAGACTAGAAACCAATTTCGAAAGAAAATTCAAAGGGCTGTAACTTTTGAACTAGTAGTCCAATCTTGGAACTGTTTGAAATTATGGATTCTACAGGCCACATTCTATAAGAAATTTTTTTTTCCCGGGGCGATCTGAGACAATTTTTTTTTCGGGGCTCAAGAGAAGGCAGTGTATAACCTTCCATTTTTACCAACAATCGACTACACCAAAATTTCTCGGGAAAACACTTTTTCTTATTAATTTGGGCGCGTAGAATCCAAATCAATTCGTACTTTTTCGATCAGATTTCTCAATCAAAAGTTGTAGACTAGAAACCAATTTCGAAAAAAAATTCAAAGGGCTGTAACATTTGAACTAGTAGCCCAATCTTGGAACTGTTTGAAATTATGGATTCTACAGGCCATATTCTGTAAGAAAATTTTTTTTCCGGGTCGATCTGAGACAATTTTTATTTCGGGGTTCAAAAAAAGGCAGTGTATAATAACCTTCCTTTTTTACCAAAAATTGACTGCACCAAAATTTCTCGGGAAAACATTTTTTCTTATTAATTTTGGTGCGTAGAATCCAAATCAATTCGTATTTTTTCGATCAGACTTCTCAATCAAAAGTTATAGACTAGAAACCAATTTAGAAAAAAAATTCAAAGAGCTGTAACTTTTGAACTAGTAGCCCAATCTTGGAACTGTTTGAAATTATGGATTCTACAGGCCACATTCTATAAGAAAATTTTTTTTTTCCGGGTCGATCTGAGACAATTTTTATTTCGGGGTTCAAAAAAAGGCAGTGTATAACCTTCCTTTTTTACCAAAAATCGACTACACCAAAATTTCTCGGGAAAACACTTTTTCTTATTAATTTTGGCGCGTAGAATCCAAAACAATTCGTACTTTTTCGATCAGACTTCTCAATCAAAAGTTATAGACTGAAACCAATTTCGAAAGAAAATTCAAAGGGCTGTAACTTTTGAACTAGTAGCCCAATCTTGGAACTGTTTGAAATTATGGATTCTACAGGCCACATTCAATAAGAAAATTTTTTTTCGGGGTCGATCTGAGACAATTTTTTCTTCGGGCCTCAAAAAAAGGCAACACACTTCCTTTTTTACCAAAAATCGACGTCACCAAAATTTCTCGGGAAAAGACTTTTTCTTGTTAATTTTGGTGCGTAGAATCCAAAACAATTCGTACTTTTTCGATTAGACTTCTCAATCAAAAGTTATAGAAACCACTTTCGAAAGAACATTCAAAGGGCTGTAACTTTTGAACTAGTAGCCCAATCTTGGAACTGTTTGAAATTATGCATTCTACAGGCCACATTCTATAAGAAAATTTTTTCCCGAGTCGATCTGAGACCATTTTTTCTTCTGGCCTCAAAAAAAGGCAGTGTACCTACACACTTCCTTTTTTACCTAAAATTAAAATTTGTACAGCACTCAGTTTGCATTTAAAACATCGTGGTACAACTGCTTTTGCCAAGTTACATACTTATATGCTTTACAAGACGCGTTATAGGAAAATACAACCAAAGATTTACAAGTAAGCTTCAAAGTAAAATTCAAAACAGAGTGGTATTTCTTAACTAAAGCGGCAGCTAGATAAAATAAGGTTGCAAATTACCTACATTATTGTAGTATTAATCAGCATTAAGGAAATGTACGGTTTCGCATCAGCACTGTTGTGTATTGAAGTCACCTACAATTACAAAACTATCATTACGCAAATATTCAAAGCGATTACTATTTAACAGACTGCGATGTGAAACTACCAGTAGTTACTGATCCTCTTCGCATATTTAAATGATGTATTCGAAGATACTCGTATTTTGCTTTTTAGTCGCGAGTCTTCAAATTGCAGCAATTTCTGGTAATATACGAGTGCAATTCTTTCTTTCGGTCCTACTCCTACACTCGGTTTCAGCCAAGAAGGTTGTGTGTTATTATGGTAGTTGGTCAGTATATCGCCCAGGAGATGGATCGTGTAAAGTAGAAGACATAGATCCCTTTCTTTGTACCCACGCAATCTATGCTTTTGTTGGAATTGACCAAACAGGGTCAATAAAAATTTTAGACCCTTCGAACGACGTTGACAATGGTAAGATGAAACAATTTTGGTTTAATCGTATAATACTAAACTTTAGGAGGGTTTCGTCGATTTAATGCAATGAAATCAAAAAATCCAAATTTGAAAACGCTATTGGCGGTAGGGGGTTGGAATGAAGGATCAGAAAATTATTCTAAAATGGCTGGAAATCCTTCATTGAGAACTAACTTCATTATAAGTGCAATCAATCTGATGAATCAATATGGCTTCGATGGTTTTGATATCGATTGGGAGTACCCCGCACAAAGAGGTGGTGTTCCTGAAGATAAGGTACGAAAGCTATCTTGATGTACAATAAATTTGGATTATAGGTCAACTTTGTAACACTGATCAGAGAATTTCGCCAAGCGCTAGGGAATGGACGCGTTCTTTCTATTGCAGCGGGTGCAACCCCAAGTCACATAGTATCGTCCTATGATGTATCCGCACTGACTCAGTAAGCACAATGTTTCATTATTGATTGAATACATCATTTCAAGCTTGTAGTGATTTGGATTTTATTAACGTTATGACATATGATCTACATGCCTCATGGGATGGAGTCACTGGTGCCAACGCACCATTATTTTCTTCTTCTGGAGTTTCTGTGGTAAGAGACAGCGTTTATGGTCCAACTTTTGTTTAGTGTATGATCTTCAGTCTCAATGCATCGATGCGTGGATTGCAAGTGGAGCACCCTCCTCAAAATTAGTCATGGGTATTCCCGTTTACGGGAGAACATATACGCTTGCAAATTCGCAAGTAAATGGAATAGGAGTCCCAGCTCCCCACCCCGGAACCCCAGGTCCATTCACACAAGAAGAAGGGACAATTGGTTATAATGAAGTTTGTTGCTTTGAATAGTTTTAGGTACCTACATTTACCATATACTTAAATTTTAGATATGCCTGCAATTACTAACAGGTCAATGGGTTGTTGTATGGGATGATGCTCAAAAGATTCCGTACGCGTATAAAGAGAACCAATGGGTTAGTTATGATGAACAACGATCAGTTGGTGTTAAAGTCAGTTTCTCCTGCAAGGAAATTTACAGCAAGTCTATACAACGTATTGCTTACAGGTGCAGTACATTAAACAACGTGATTTGGGCGGTGCTATGATTTGGTCTATTGATACAGACGACTTTCGAGGAACGTGTGGCACAAAATATCCAATCCTTACCACAATCAAAAACGGACTAATATAACAAGGGAAAGTCTTTGTCAGAGGCGATTTGGAAAGACAAATCTAATAATATAATATAAAATATTAGTTTACCTGTTTTTCATGATTTCTTAAATTTGTTAAGAAGACTACCTATATATACCCTCCAAATAAACTTCTACAAAATCATCTTCCACTTGTTAATGTCATTTGTGTATATTTACAGTTTCCCTATAAAATACAGGAACGTTAGACAAACAAAGTCCTAACATATATATATATACGAATAATTGATGTGGTATGATTTTTGGTAGGTAGGTCCTCTGGTTCTAGTTAATGGTAAGTGCTTATTTTCTCTTATTTTCTTTACTCTGCTGGGGTACATGGTAGGGCCACCAGAAGTGTCTTCAAAAGCAGTGTGATCTACTCAACAAGAGCGAATTTAATTCAAATTGTATCGGTTAGCGACCGACATGCTCAAACATCCAACAATTGCTGTGAAAATAGTTTCCGTTTCTTTTTTATGAAAGTAAACTTGCCCTTACATTTGCATATTGTTCGACTCTTCGCCTACGTAATGTCAGGCGTTATGGGTTGTTGAAAGGAAATGAGGGGTTCGATTTGTTTCATTTGATAGAAATTAATCACGAGGATATCGTATATGCTCTTTTTGACGGCGGCAGTACCAGTAGTGGAAAAAGTAGAGAAATTATTGGTGCCCTTGGTCACTTTACTTCATAAACCGAAAATTTTTAGGTCACCAGTTTTGGAATATGAAGATTAGAATTTGTTATTTATCACGGATAGGGTGTAACATCAGGATGTATGCACCTATTAGGATTTATATACAAGAGGATAAAGGAGTTTCTCAAGATCTTGTCGACAAGATGCTGCCGCAAGAACCTTATTTTTGGGAGCTACGAAATTCAGGAAGATAATTTTGGAGAGGGACAAGCAACAAGGCTGGACAGTACATACAGAACGTAGTATGTAAAGTCAATGTTATTTACAATATTAATTTGTGTTTGATGGTAGAAAACTTATGCAAATTATAATGCACATTTTTAGCTCTGAGGTGCACCACAAAAACATTTTAAAGTACTCCTTTGTCGAAAATAAATTACCATACAGTTTTTTTTAAATTGTAGATGATAATTAAAAGTAACAAAATATACAATCCACACGAGGTGCGTCGCCTATCATTGTATTTCAGCACTTTCATGCTACGACAAAAAATGATAAATTCATTGTAAAACACTTCAATTAAAACAGAATTTTTTAACAACCTAACATCAACCCCAATTAGAGAAACCTGTTAATAATTTATTAATTGTGCAAGAAACTAAATACAGCACATACTTATAAATTTCCAACGGGCCATTATGATCTACAGGCCAGGTGGCAATCACCACCCGCCCCCCGGGCCAGTGCACCCCTGGTTATACACTGCCTTTTTTTGAGCCCCGAAAAAAACATTGTCTCAGATCGACCCGGAAAAAAAATTTTCTTATAGAATATGGCCTGTAGAATCATAATTTCAAACAGTTCGAAGATTGGGCTACTAGTTCAAAAGTTACAGCCCTTTGAATTTTTTTTCGAAATTGGTTTCTAGCCTATAACTTTTGATTGAGAAGTCTGATCGAAAAAGTACGAATTGTTTTGGATTCTACGCACCAAAATTAATAAGAAAAAGTGTTTTCCCGAGAAATTTTGGTGCAGTCAATTTTTGGTAAAAAAAGGAAGGTTATACACTGCCATTTTTTGAACCCCGAAAAAAAAATTGTCTCAGATCGACCCGGAAAAAAAATTTTCTTATAGAATGTGGCCTGTAGAATCCATAATTTTAAACAGTTCCAAGATTGGGCTACTAGTTCAAAAGTTACAGCCCTTTGAATTTTTTTTCGAAATTGATTTCTAGTCTATAACTTATGATTGAGAAGTCTGATCAAAAAAGTACGAATTGATTTGGATTCTACGCACTTTTTAACAACCTAACATCAACCCCAATTAGAGAAACGTGTTAATAATTTATTAATAGTGCAAGAAACTAAATACAGCACATACTTATAAATTTCCAATAGGTGGCAATCGCCACCCGCCCCCCCCCCGTGCCAGTCCGCCCCTGGTGAACCGCCAGCATCCACAGCAGCTTTGAATTGCTGACATCTGACGGTGGTTAACTGAATTGATCGTTGTCATGGTATGTTAGTTGCCTACACATCAGGAGCTATAGGAAAGGAATAGGAGTTGTGGTTATGTAAATAAATAAATTAAAGTTTTGATTATTCTAAATTTAATTAAAACAACCAATATGATAGAACCTAAAGCAGTAACTAAAAAGTTCTTTAATAAAGAGACTGAACGTAAGTTGTATTATTCTATTAAATGTATGGCTAACGGTCTTCTTTCAGAACTTGTGGGCGAATACCAGTTACATTTATATCGAGCCTTTTTCGACAAATACAATATACAATTGAGTTCATTTAAGGAGAAATTGTCCCATTTGTACAATATACGCTCGGAGATTGTCGTGTTAGAAGTATGTGTATCTACAGTACTATTAATCTTGATTAAGTTTTTTGTAATTGCAGAATGGTGCTACTGAGGATATATCCTTACTAGAAATTGTTCAGTCTGATAATAAACTGTTAAGTAAAATATTAGCAAGTCTTGGAGCACTATGTGAGGAACTGTTGTTACTAATCAAAGAAGTCTACACAGACTACCATGTTTCGTTTATAATATATGGGGAGGGTAAGTTGTGGTCAGTTGTACTTGGCATTTAATGCACGGTTCGTTGGCAGAAACAGAGAAGGGTATTGCAAATCTCTCGTCAATTAGTAAAGTAATGGATCAACTGCAGCGAGTCAGTCTTTTTGTGGATCGTGCTAGGCATGTCATCATATTACTGTTAAAACAACTTTGCGTGATTTTGGGAAAAAACTTGTATAATGAGAGCTCGGTTACATGTTTTCCGGTTAGTATTATTTGTGGTGATAAGTCGCTAAATGTTCCATTACAGGAACCATTAGATTACTTAGCAGAGATGTTGGTTTGTTTAATTACCCTAGATGGCGTGTGTGGAGATTTACTACAAGAACATTGGACTACGTATCGTAAAGCTGTGAGGTTAATGTTACACAATCCGTCCCAGTTTCAAATCCCCGTGGAACAGTTACGGTTTCTTAAGGAATGCACGGCAACCCTAGAATCAAAATTGTTGAAGGGAAACATATTTCAGGTTTGCTACGTTTAAAAACTTCAATTTGTCAATCGATTTTTAACACAGCAAACTGTGGAGAAGTGTCTGGAGGAGGGCTTAACTATTACAATAAAAAATTGCAGTTTAGCAAATGAAATTATGTTATACATCCTGCAGATGTTAACCGAATTGGAGAAAGACGATGACAATATGTCTTTTACACAAATTTGCTTGCAAGTAAACGCCATGTACGTGTTGCATTATTCTTTGTTTGGAAGTTTTGACAAAAAGATTTATAAACGACTATCCGAGGTGAATAAAAAGGTAAATGCACAATTTTGACACAATTTCTTGGACATCTCAAATGAAATTTTGTATTTTATTGCTTTTATTTTTAAGCGAATGGGGTTTTAGTTTAGGCTGTTTCACTAATCCCTCCAATGAAAGAGAGTACGGTACCAGGTGGCCAAACTAATTTCAAATTATGGTAGGCATATGTGGTTGAGAATTACTCCCATATCACATTCCCTTTCATAGAGGGGCGGTGGCAGAAGAAGCTTTGTGAAAGACGCCTATTTTAAGAAAAGCATCATAAAAATGGGGGCTGTTTCAGAGGACTTCCCGAGCAAAACCTTAATTGACACAACTAATACACAGCAGTTCTCTTTTATTACCCCAAAGTAATCTGCACATTTATTAAAGCTGTTTCTATATAAGGCAAAAATATATCATTTATTTTGTTTTTGCCTTTATTTTTGAGTGGGCGGGTTTCAGCCAAGGCTGCTCTTCCAACCCAACCCATTATACATTTACAAATATTCATACCTGAACCTGGAATCGAACCATCAATTAAAAATGGCTGTTTTTCTGACAAAAAGTATTTTAGTTTTTTTATTTTAACTTTTTTTCAGTTTGTTTATAATTAAACCTGGCATAAAAACGGTGATAGCTACCTAGCTCAAGCCAAAAAGCTTAAAATTGACAATAGTTTGGTGTCCTTATCGGTTCTGATTTTTTTAATCAAGTTTTAATTCAACAAAGCACTTTTTTTAGGCTGCTGCATGCGTTCTTGTGGGAAATACGGTGTGGCATCCCGAAGCATTTTTAGTTCGTCACATTCCTCCGTTATCTAAAATTATAGATATTAAAACCTACACAAATAATCGCCTAACGCTGCTTGCAACCAGAAGCCAAAATCTGCCAAAAGAAGCCCATAGCCTCTGCTTACAGGTGAAGTAACCACACGTTTAAGCTATAACTGATGGCCGTTTGCAGGTATATACATGGATGAGTGAACTCGTACACGTAACAGAAATGGACATGACACATTTACAAATTAATTACCTACAAAATGTTGCCGACACCTTCATAAATGGTATCAGGCTTGTCAAGAAAATCAGTGAGCTTGTTAAATGGATTACAAACATGCATGTAGACGCCGAGCGACCCATGACGAAATCAACTCTTTTGGCCCTTTGTAGACTTGTAGAAGTCTTAAAAGCGATACAGTTCATTTTTCAAAAAAATTTGCTCCCGTTAATTTACGTCATAACACTAATTACTCAACATTTAGCTTATAAAGCCGTTACAGAACTTGCAAAGCTAAAGGTAACATTGATAAGTGGTTTACTGTTTTATTATATTTGATTTGTAGCGAAGTTTAACCCAAGAAAAGTTCTATAAAGAACAACAGTTAGATGTCTTATCATCACTCAATGTAGCAGAAAGAGCACTTAAAGGTAATTCAAATGTAATAGGAATTTTACACTGAGTCATTTTTTAAGGTCCGAATACAACTCGTCGTTTACTAATAATTAAGTTAGCCTTGTCAGCAAGTGGCCTCTCATCCGAAAATTTGTCTGATCTACGCGCTGTGATAAATCGTTTAGAAATGATGTGCAGCTTTCCAACTGTACTGTATAAGCTGTGCAACTGTTCATTCTTGTATTGGCACCAAGTGCTGCTGCCCGTTTACTTCTCTAAAATGATAGATACTAGTGTCGACTTGTCTAGATTTTATGTGTGTATCTTTCTATCCAATTATCATACTAATTAGCGCTTTTCAGCTCTTGTTTGACTCGCTGAATGACTGCAGCGTAATTGCAGAGAAGAAGGTTCAAACCGTAACCTACCAATATTTGAAAAGCGACATAATTGATGTAATGAATCAGTTGGTTGAAACAAATTTGCGGCTCCAAACGCATTTACATCTGCAGCTGCCACCATCGGATCCGTTTCAGAATCCGCCACCGTCCAATTTTAAAAATTTGCTTCCTGCGTTTTTCAACAATCATTATATTCATATTAAAGAAGAGGTCGAACATTACTTGAGTACCATGTTTTATAACCTAACAACTGTCGTTTTGCACGACTGGAGGACGTATGGGGAAATGAGAAGGTAGGTTTTCGTTTTATTTATAATTTGGAAGTGTTGTACTAACTTAAGGCTCCTCTGTAGTCAATTTGTATTTCAATGTTATTGCAATGGGTTAGACCACCAACAATACACATCTCTAGACGATGTACCTACTCCTTGAGTGAGACCATTGAATAATAAATCTTTTATTATTCAATGGCGAGACCAACGATGTATCTCTATCCTTTCCAGTTTTGCATATTCTCTTCATTTATTGTTAAACACAATAGACCATGTATAATGGTCAAGGACTAATATTATGTAAACAAGTTTAGCGAAAAGCTGTACAATATTTGAATGGAGATGCACAAATGCCTATTTCTTTTACTATTGAGTAAATTACTTATTCAATGCATTTACTGCATTTTTCTATAATGGCACCTTCTGTAAATTACCTGGTTCTTAGATCATTAGTGGACTAGATTAGCATTGTTTGTTAACATTTTTAATTACCCCTTTATTTCCTGTGAGTTTTTCTTTCTAATCAATTTTACTGATTTATAGATTTTTATAGTTATTAGATAGACATGTGCATGAATGAATTCACTTAGGACTTAGGTATGGTAGAACCTAATAAACCGGCACTTCGAACACCTAAAATAAATCTCTTTATTTTCTTATACCATAAGGCTGAACAACAACAAAAAATGTATTTTTTTTATAAAAATGATAGCTAACATTTAAAATTCTGTTACAATGATAAAAAGTATAACATATACCGATTTTTAAATAAATTCTTATCTTTTCAAAAAATAATTGTACATTTAGCGTTATACTTATATATATATTTATGCACAACCCATGTAGAATTTTTCCGAACATCTTATGTGCAGCAAGATGACTTCGCTTTTTTGTCCTAAATTGAGAATTCAGTTGTAAAATGTGTTGATTCTGTGGTTAATCCTCTATTTTCTGAGAGGCAAAATCCGAGATGATATCAGTTCATATTCGCTAAGTTGATGTGAAGTTTGCGGGATTTCATCATATTCTCAAACGGAAAAAATAAATAGTTGAAATTTTTTAAAAGTGGGAGAATTTTTTTACCCACCACTAATTAATTGGAACATTTTTTGTAACAGTTAAAATGAACAAGTGCAATCGAATTTCTTTGAAATGGCAGGCTCAGAATGTGAAAACTATTGGGCGCAGCTTTCTTTCCAATTTATTTGTAAAAATCGAAATTTGTCGTTCCTTTATTTTTTGATAAGCGGATATTCCTGATATCTGATCATATTGAAAAAATAAGTAGCACTTGCCTCTCTAAGTCTCGACTCAGTAGTAGTGTTTGCGAATTGTGATACTGTGCTACCCGCTTATGTGGGGGTCATGCGTTAGTCCAAAAAATCAAAACGGTGCCACATTTCTACACAAGAACAAATTTGCGGCAAAAATGCTTCTAATTACTGGTACAGTCGTATTCCGCCTAGGGGTTTAGCTAAAAATTGGGCTACTATTTGATACCTTCCTAAAAAATTTCTTGAAGCATCCTGATAGAATAAAAAAGGTTTTAGAAATCAAAAATTATTTCCAATGTACCTACAATAAATATGCATTTACTGCACTTTTCGTCTTAGGAATATGTGACATTATGATTCACAAATCAACAGCATTCATGAATCATTAGGAACGGCGTAACAATGTGCAGGATAATGCCAGGTAGTTTCTTTTGTTTTCACTTTCAAGTAATGAATTGTCGCCTCAGGAGTTATAGTGCAATATGAGTTGCCTATCCTTACGGTAGCGTTTTGATTTTTTTCTAAAGATCGCGATACATATTTTTTAAAATATATGCATTATCATAATAGGTGGAAATAATATCTTTAAGTACTGCCGTAGGAAATACTATCGGATTTCCAAATTGGTGCTGTAGGTTTTTCTACTCCCATTACAACGGCTGTTATTTACGAAAAACGATTTTTCTATTCATCGATCTTCCTAAAAAACTAAGACCGATATTTCAACTTTTTTTAAGTACCGCCGTTCTTTTCATCATTGCAAAGAATATCCACTATCGAGAATTTGTTAGACTGCAACTGCAAAAGCAGCATTTCATAAGAAAGTTTAGCTATTTTGCCAATATGGCGGATTGACTACAGAGGAGCCCAGGAGCGGACTGGCACGGGGGGGGGGGGCGATTGCCACCTAGCCTGTAGGTAGATCGTAATGGCCCATTGGACATTTATAAGTGTGTGCTGTAGTTAGTTTCTTGCACTATTAATAAATTATTAACACGTTTCTCTAATTGGGGTTGATATTAGGTTGTTAAAAAATTCCGTTTTAATTGAAGCGTTTTACAATGAATTTATCATTTTTTGTCGTAGTATTTTGGAAGTGCTGAAATACAATGATAGGCGACGCACCTCGTGTGGATTGTATATTTTGTTACTTTTAATTATCAGCTGCAATTTTTAAAAAAAACTGGTAATTGATTTTCGAGAAAGGAGTACTTTAAAATGTTTTTGTGGTGCCCCTCAGAGCTAACCCCCCCCCCTCGCCACCTTCATTACTACACTAATACTTTAATGGCCCGTAAGTACCCAGTCCGCCCCTGTGTATAACCTTCCTTTTTTACCAAAAATCTACTGCATCAAAATTTCTCGGGAAAAGACTTTTTCTTATTAATTTTGGTGCGTAGAATCCAAAACAATTCGTACTTTTTCGATCAAACTTCTCAATCAAAAGTTATAGAAACCAATTTCGAAAGAATATTCAAAGGGCCGTAACTTTTGAACTAGTAGCCCAATGTTGGAACTGTTTGAAATTATGCATTCTACAGGCCACATTCTATAAGAAAATTTTTTTTCCGGGTCGATCTGAAACAATTTTTATTTCGGGGTTCAAAAAAAGGCAGTGTATAACCTTCCTTTTTTACCAAAAATCGACTACACCAAAATTTCTCGGGAAAACACTTTTTCTTATTAATTTGGGTGCATAGAATCCAAATCAATTCATACTTTTTCAATCAGACTTCTCAATCAAAAGTTATAGACTAGAAACCAATTTCGAAAAAAATTCAAAGGGCTTATGGATTCTATAGGCCATTCTATAAGAAAATTTTTTTCCGGTTGATCTGAGACATTTTTTTTCGGGTCTCAAAAAAAAGGCAGTGTATAGCCAGGGGCGCACTGGCCCGGGGGGGCGGGTGGCGATTGCCACCTGGCCTGTAGATCATAATGGCCCGTTGGAAATTTATAAGTATGTGCTGTATTTAGTTTCTTGCACTATTAATAAATTATTAACATGTTTCTCTAATATTGGGGTTGATGTTAGGTTGTTAAAAAATTCTGCTTTAATTGAAGTGTTTTACAATGAATTTATCATTTTTTGTCGTCGCATGAAAGTGCTGAAATACAATGATAGGCGACGCACCTCGTGTGGATTGTATATTTTGTTATTTTTAATTATCAGCTGCAATTTAAAAAAAAACTGTATGGTAATTTATTTTCGAGAAAGGAGTACTTTAAAATGTTTTTGTGGTGCACCTCAGAGCTACCCCCCCGCCACCTTCATTACTACAGTAATACTTTAATGACCCGTAACCTATGCAATTCCACCTGGCCCGCAGTTACCCAGTCCGCCCCTGGAGGAGCCTTAAATTTCAATTGCAATCATCAGCTCTATTATTCCAAATAAATTTTTTATTCCATTCGCAAGGAGAACCAGACAGGGCAGCACTTAGGCACCAAAGGTCCATTGTGCCTTTGCAGCGCATTCGTTTCTTTGCTTTCCAGATCTTCAGAGACACACTTCTGGGACAACTTAGATTTTAGCACATACTTAAACCCTTCAAACGCTTTCTAGGCTTTCCTAGAGTTTTTCACCACTTTCCCTGAGCGATTTTTTGAGCTTTAGGCGTTTTGCAAAGTTCACTGTGAAGCTTGCTACCTTTATCCAAGACTCTTTTCCAAAAGTTTTAAGCGCCCTCACAATAGAGGATCATTCCAGGTCTTGCTTAGAACTTTGTAAGCTCTTCGCATGGCATTCTAGACTCTTTTCAGGCCGTCTAGGTTTCAAAAGTGCATGGAAAGGGTTCTGATCGCAGAGTCTCCAAAGGCGTTGCAGAACAAGAAAAGGTTCTCCAGAACTTTTATTTTATGTTGACCTTTATTTTCGAGTGGGCGGGGTTTCAGTCAAGGCCGAACCAGGGACCCTTTGTAACGGAGTCCAGCTTCAACTGAACTGCTCCACACGGGCCGGCTAACTTTCTAAACTCTTTTTAAACCTTCAGTTTCTACTAGAGCGTTGCTTTGTAGTAAAATTAGGATTTCAATTCTTAATCTGGCTCTCCTCCACTTACTTTGATGTCCCTATTATTTTTAATCATTTGTTTTTGAGAGGTAATTGTTTATTTGATAATTCAAAGATTGAGTCCTCACAACTTACACAATTAAATGTAATTCCAGGTTAGCAATGCTGCAGTATGGTTTAAACACAGTTGAAGACAACCTACCAATTCAAACTTTAGAACAAGGTCTCGACGTATTGGAGATAATGCGAAATATTAACGTATTTGTGGTGAAATATTCGTACAACCTAAACAATCAGTTTTTCATCGAAGATCAAAGTAACAATAAGCATCTTAACACAATCAATATTTTGCATGTTGCGAACTCCATTCGTACGCACGGAATCGGCATTATGAACACGACAGTAGGTAAAATGACTGATCTAATATCACTAATGTTTTTCTCCTAGGTGAACTTCATATATCAATTCCTACAACAAAAATTTTTTACCTTTTCTCAATTCATGTTCGACGAGCAAATCAAATCGAGGCTTTTAAAAGATTTAAAGTTTTTTACTGACAATAAGAATGAAAGTCAAATGTACCCGTATGAGCGCGCTGAGAAATTCAATGTTGCTATACGACGATTGGGACTTAACCAGGAGGGTTTGAGTTACTTGGATTTGTTTCGTAAACTCATTACGCGTATAGGTAACGCAAAGCAATTTTCAAAGTTGTTTTTTATCCTTCACCTACAGGAAATGCTATGGGGTATATTCGAATGATAAGATCTGGTGGAAGACGCTGTCTTGCTGATGCAACCTGTTTTATTCCAGACTTGAAGGCTATTAGCGATTTAAATAAGCTTTTGGAACACGAAAATTTGAGTGAACCTTCCAAAAAAAGAATCGAGTCATTTGCTAGTAGCGTAAATAACTTAGTCGAGAATTTTGAAGAAGCCACCGAATATTTTAAGGTGATTTTTGCGTTTGAACTGATAGTCGCTTCATTTTATCTTTTAGCTACTTGTAAAAGTATTCATACCCACACTTCGGAATTCGCAAAATGTGCACTTGAAGAATTTTTATATTATTGTTCCACCACTTACTGTTAATTTTGTCGAACATCTTTTTAATTGCAAAGAGAGATTGAATAAAAAAAATCGTGGCGTTTCAGCATTCACTGATGATGGCTTTGCTATGGGTGAGTATTTTCGTATCATACAACTCGGAAATATTTTTTGTTTGACAGGATTGGCGTTTATTATAAAATTACTCAATCAGAGCAGTCCGTTAAATTCCCTACATTGGTTCCAATCCGTGCAAGCCAAGCACAAACAAGATCGAGCGCAGTTGGACATTCAAAAAACCCTTGCAAGCAAAGAAGATGATAAACTACAGCATACATTAGCACTTACTGAAAAGCGGTTAAATGCGTTTGAAAAGGTGAGGACTACCTATGTCTTTGTCTTCCTGCTATGCTGGGTTGTTATTTGTTTTTTAGGAGTTTCGATTGTTGTTCTACAGTTTCAACAGCTGCCGAATATTTTTTGAATAAAAGTCTGTGAATATTCTAATTTTTATACTGCTGTTATTTATTTTTTATTAAAAATTATAAATTTATAGAAATGTTTCCCGTTTTTTATATTTCCACACGTCACAGTAGGGAAGCACAATTGCCACTTTATTATTCGGAGCCATCAAACTTGTAGTTCAAGTACTCATCGATGCTATAGAATGCTTTGGCACCAAGGAACACTCTGATTGTTTTTCTGAATTGTTGTTCTTCCAGATCCCTGATGTAGTCAGGAAGTGCATTGTAACATTTCTTCATGAAATAGTTAATGTCTCGTCCTTTTACCGTCCGATAGTAGTCTTCGACAAGGTTGTTTTTAGTCTGTACATTGTAATGACATTTATCACTGTCTTTACGAAGGGTTGGAAGGGCCTTCTTGGCGTGTGTTAGACAGGTAAATATTTATATACATGGGAGTGTAAGGATGTTAAGTTTGGTGAAGGATGTTCTGCAACAATCTCTATATTTGCGGTTGTCTATGATTCTTATGCACTTGCGCTGGACGGAAAACACTTTAGCTGCATGGACGGAATGTCCCCAACACAGTACTGCATAGCTTAATGTGGAGTGGATGTACCCATAGTATGCTTGTACTAAGACCTGCTTTGTTACTCTAGGCTTTAGATTTCGTATAATGTAGTTCATTTTAGACAGTTTACTGGACAGGTACAAGGCGTACTCTGCCCACGTCAGCTTGCCATCGATATATATACCCAACAGTTTCACTGGAGGAGATTTATCTGTATTATGGAGGCCCAGTAACAGGGATGGATTTTTCAGTTCATTAATACTTAGACCATTGCTCGTGAACCACTGAGTTATTCCTGACAGTAGCTTCTTAGACGATTTACTCAGGAGTTCCTTGCTGTCGGCTGTAGTAAGGGCGGTGGTATCGTCGGCAAAAAGAGTTAGGTACTGATGTGGTGCTGTTGAAAGTGATGACAGGTCATTAATGAAAACAAGAAATAGGATTGGCCCCAATACAGATCCTTGAGGAACACCCATCTTCACGGCTGCATTCTTGGATTTAAGTGAGTTAAGTGTAACATATTGGGTACGATCATTGAGGTACGAACGAATTACTGCTATACTGGTCGCATCGAATTTATACTTCGCAAGTTTCCTGATCAGTAACTCATGGCTCACACAGTCAAATGCCTTTGTTAGGTCAAAGAGAGACATTTGTGCCTCGTTTAGATTCAAACCCCTGCTTCACAAACTGTAGCAAGTAATTTATGGCTGTAGTAGTTGACCTGCCATTGCGGAAGCCAAATTGACAAGTGCTGAATAGGTTGTTCTCTTCAAAATACTGCTGTATTTGTTTTTTCATCGCCGCTTCAAAAATTTTACCAAAAATTGGGATGATGGAGATTGGTCTATAGTTTGATACCTCATCTCTGGGACCTGTTTTATGGACTGGAACCACTTTTGCAATTTTTAGGCAATCAGGAAATATGCCTTCGTTCACAGACTGGTTGATGAGTTTACAAAGGGGATAAATTATTATATTTTGCACCGTTTTGACGATTTTTAAATTGAGGTTGTATGGGTCCCTACTCAAGGTATTTTTTAGTTTTGAAATAATTTCTCGTGTTTCATTGTACGTTATTTCCCTAAATGAGAAATTTAGGTTTCCAGGAATATTGAAGTTTTCAAGGAATTTTAAAGGATTCACACTAGTTTGTGGTAAATTGTTCACTATTAGTACCCACATCACTAAAGAAAGAGTTAAATATGTCAGCTGTCAGAGTGTTTGGAATTTGTCTTTGTTTTACTGGGTTGTAGTTCTGTATTATGTCCCATGCAGCTTTTTGAGTGTTGGAAGATTTCTTCATGTGGTTATCATTAGCCTGTTTTTTGTACTTGTTAATTTCAGCTCTGTAGATCCTCCTGTAATCCTTTAATGTCTCGTTGCTGACGATGTTTGAGTTTTGCTTGTTTAAAAATGTTAGAAAATGAAGAACCTCTCTCCTTTTTCTTATATGATGGTTAAACCAGTGTACTTTGTATGACTGTCTGTTGTTACGAGCACTTACTTTAGATTTGCTTCCAAAAGACATGTCACATGCTTTTGTGATAATGTCAATAAATGAAGCAAACTTGTGATTTACAGTTTTGTTAGTACTGGAAATGAATGACCAGTCTGTTTGTTCCAAGGTGTTATAAAGCTTGGATAGTCCTATGTGTGTAATTGGCTTGTAGATAATGCGTTCTTTGGAAGATGTATCCTCCGGTACAACTGTGGTGTAAGTGATCATGAGGGCACTATGGTCTGAGAGATCTGGTTGCAGGACTTTTACATTGTATTTGTGAGAATCGAGGTTAGTAAAAATATTATCTATACATGAATCCTGACGCGTGTTCTCAAAGACAGTTTTGTTTAAACCAAAAGATAGAAATAGGTTGAGCATCTAACTCACTCTGGAATCAGGTCTAGAGAAGTGTACATTGAAGTCTCCTGTGATGATGATTCCCTGCGTAGACTTGAGCTTATGTAGTAAATCAGCCATGCAATGCAAAAATACGTCCAGGTTGCCTAGCGGGGACCTATAAACAGTTATTATTTGGATGCCATTATATCAGATTCCATCAGCAACTTCAAAGTCCTTTTCAAGAGACATCTTTGCAATATTTAAAGGCAAATGGGTATAATTAAGGTCACTTCTGATGTATATGCCAACCCCACCGTGAGCATATATTTTCCGACAAAAAGAAGAGGCACTATTATAGTTTTCGATACATGTGCACTCGAGTTCACTAGAACGTAACCAGTGTTCGTTTAGACAAAGTATCGCTATGGTTTTATCCGCTAGGTAAGCATCAAGGACAGATATCTTGTTGCTTAAACACTGAATGTTTATATGGGGTATGCTCATCGTTGTAGTTTGGTTGATGATATTGTTGCCTGCGCTTATTGCTAGGGAAAATCCGCTCCTCTGAGTGCCACGTTGGGATGTTTTGAAAAATCGAACCTTTTGATACCAACTCCTTCAGGCCAAAAGTTCGTGTCGTATAGTACATCTTTTAAGGCGAATGGTGCTGACACTACCCCCAGGGAACACTTCTTGGTCCTTTTCTGTTTCTCTTATACATAAATGATTTACCGCGAGTGATAAAAAACTCGAAAGCACTACTATTTGCGGACGACCTAAAACTTGTTAATAAAGTCCAATTCCCAAGTGACTGTTTAAATATTCAAGAGGACATTAACTCAGTAATTAAGTGGTGTATCAAAAATAAACTAAAACTAAATATCAATAAGTGTAAAGTCCTTACTTTTACTAGATCGAAGAATCCCTTACTTTTTGACTATAAGATGAATGGAAAGGTCTTACTACGAGTCACCTCCGTTAAGGACCTGGGCGTGTTTTTCAATAACAACCTTAACTTCAACTTACACATTGAATACCTAACAAATGAGTGTTATAAACTTCTTGGTTTCGTTATCAGAAATACACTCAATTTCACGAATATGCAGACAATGCTAACCTTATATAATGCGTTTATTAGATCCAAGCTTGAGTATGCTGCATGCATCTGGTCTCCTCAAACTCTCAAATACTCAGACATGATCGAAAAAGTGCAGAAAAAGTTCATCCGAGTAATGTTTTTTAGGTCAACCCAAAATTATCCACATTTGATCTCTTACGGTACCCAGCTTAATTACTTAAATAGTACTTTCGTTGTATGCCCGAAAAGCCCTCCTGGGAGCATGCAGCTGTTCCAACTCGTTTCGGAAATGCTTTCTTTGGTATTTCCATTTTAGCAGCTTTGGGTTGTTCTGCTTGAAGCGTTGATACCGCGATACTTGAATTGTCATTGCTCGCTCTCGTTTTTCTTGCTTTTCTTTCGACTAGTGTAAAATTCTCACATTCACTGCCCACTGGGCTTTTCCCACTTGCGTATTGATTGTATGGCCAGTATCGTGCAGGGGTGTAGTACCTACCTTGTTCATTATGTTTCTTTGAGTTTTTTCGAGCTGTACAATGTTCTGTTCCTGGTATGTCGCTAGCTTGTGGTATGGTGAATAGTGATAGAGCTTGGTTTTGAATGAATAAACAATGGTGATAGGTACTTTTACAACAATTTTTTACTTCTCTATAGCTATAGCATACATTCATTTGGTTTCTTTTGCTATTAATGGGTTGTTTTGCTTTTACTTGAGTAACATCAATGAAACTACTGCCTGGGCTAGAAACCACAACGAAAAAAACTTAAACCGGGGGACTAGTAATGGTACAGATGGGTCATTTTCAAACAACTAGGGGTTCAATTTTTATGTTCATGTCTACATGATTTCAAATGGACGTTATAAGTAAATTCAATGGTGTAGTTAACAAAAAAATAAAATTTTTCTTTTATCACAAAAAGTTGCAATAATGTCCAGAACGGAGTATGTAAAGTTGCCTATTGTCAATCGCCAAATTTGGCCATTTATAATATTAATGTGATATTAATTTGTGATTGATGGCAGAAACATAAATTTAGACCAATTATAATGCACATTTTCTATCTGTATAAACCAGGGGCGCGGGGGAAGCTATCTTTTCGCGCTTTTGAGGAAAACTTTCAAGTTGTTTTTCCAATAACTTACTTATCTATAAATGAAGTTGGAACAATTTCCATTTTTTTTTCTTTTCTAAATAAATAGCACCCTAACAGCACTCGACGTTACCCTTAAAAAAAGATTATTTTAAAACATTTTAGTAAACCCCTGCTAAAGCATTCACGTTTCACAGGAATATTCGACCCCTTCTTCATCTTCACTCAGAATTCAAATATCTTGGAATCGAAGAAATAGCACTTTGGAAGCGTCACAAACAATACATTCGTTGCAGAGCATTGATTGCTTACTAAGAAAAATTTGCATCATTTAAAAACTCATAGGGGCTAAATTTGTTATGTTCATGTCTATATGGTGGCAAGTTGACTCTTTAAATGGAATTAATCAAGAATTGTTGTCTCAATTGGAAAAAGTCACCCAAATGCAGACATTGCATTAAATCTGTTCCGAGATCTATATCGAACAATTCTAATTTTTAGCTAGACTTTATTTTTCAACAATGAATATTTCAGTATTGTACATGTATTAAAACACATTATGATACTAAAACTAATGATAACAAGTTCACGAAAAATACTAATCTAACGCTCAGAAGTGAGAAATTACTGTGATTTTAGATGTTCAGTCTTTGAGATGGAGAAATCGAGTCGCACATAAATAATGACTACTACAAATAATATATACAAAGCAACCGATAACAATAAAGGCTCATGCAATAACATCACAGGTTGCCACTCGTACGTTATTTCTAAATCTTGTATATGTTGCTCGACTAAATTGTTCTTAGCGAATCGGATAATTGGTCTCCCCTTCGTGTCCAAATACTTATACGTCTGCGAATCAGGTAATCTTTCAACCGAATAAGGTGTACTTAACTTGACATTGGTGACACCAACAGGTAAAACAACTCCGGTTTGTAAGTGTTCGACATGCATGTCATCAAATACATTATCGATTAATCTCATACGAAGTACGTATTGGTTATTATCACCCTTGTAAAGATACTGATAACTTGGAACACTGTAACCTAAGGTATAACAACTTCTCCAGCCTCCGAATAATGGGTACCGTGGACGTAATTCCAGTTCAATCCAATCCTTGCGCATGCGAACTTGTGATGTGGAAATGTTGCCGTTACTATCTCTATAATAAATACTATGAGCCGCCGCCGGTAGAATGGTTTTGTACGATTTAATACTGTGATGATTGTTGCTTGTGTCCCGTTGGTAATCATATCGTGAGAAAGAACCTTTTAATTTTGCGCCAGAATGTAAGATATCAACGTTTTCTTCAATTGCAATGTTCCCCCAATGCGACACCTCAATTAATCTTTCCAGGCGAGTTACTGTTAGAAACGGTGCGTTACTTTCGAAATGCACAGTCAGTGGATCAGAAGATAAAGGAACAATATCATTATAAGGACCGTAAGTAATGCTGGAATCCGATTGGGCCACAGGTTTTAGTTTCGAATAGTTTTCAATGCTTCTGGTATTAACAACTACAGAGGTAGTTTGCTTGGTGGAAGTATACGGAGAGTAGAAGTAGTGATTACCAAAGTATCGAACAAGCTGTTTGTCTTTCTGTGCAATGCTGAGTGGGTACGGAATTAAGCAACCTGTATAGATGAATTCCACACTTACTGAACCGGTGCGACCAGCTGCAAGTGGTTGGTTCAGTTTTATGGAAAACACCTTCGAGTCTCCATACTTCGCATCTTTCGTCTCTGTAATCTTCATTTCTTCCTTAAACGAGTCTTTAGCTGAAATGTACGATAAGTTAGCGTGTGCATTTGGCTCCAGTACAATTAAATAATTGTTCTCGGTGTCTTTGCCGGCATTTTGTAAGGTTATGGTTGCACTGACTTTCACTAACTGCGATGATAAATCGATCACTCGTTCGACGTTTTTATTTATTATATCTGCATCTGTCCTTGCTAGGAAATTTACCAAAATTAATGTGAAAATTATCGATAACTTTAACATTTTAAAAACTTGCAACAATTCACCACTGAGAAAAGACACGTTGCATGAACTCTAAACACCAATCAGGGAATATCTTTTATTTACAACGTTGCCGCTTTAAGCTACGTCAGTTGAACGAACGCATTCAAGCAACAATGGCCATTGTACCACATTAATTATGTTTAATTTCTTTGAAATTGAATTGTTTAAACTTAACAAACCATGCAATTCTATCAATCTATCTGACGTCGAGCGTGGTACAATAATACATACTTCTGAATTTTCGCACATTTATGGGAACAATTATTTGGGCCTAATAAAGCGCTCAATCCTCTGCAAGGATACAAATAATAAGGAGTCCGTTTGCAACCCTAGTAGACATGATCATAAAAATTCGACTCCTAGACTCGTTTTGAAGTCCTCTCTTACTAAGCGTTTATCCTTCTGCAGTGGGTCTCATCTCTTGTGGCGCATCAAAATTATCACATTACTACGTTAAAAATTCAAAAAAATGTAGTTGGTCTTGTGCCATCTGCGCATGCGCACATCTGATATGCGAACAGCTTTTACTAAAAACTTCTGTGTTAAAATTTCAAAAAATATCTATAAATGAGTAAATTATAATACAGATACTTTAGATAGGAAGTAGATACATGAAATAATAAGCACAGGTTTAGCATGGTATTTACTGCCTTTGTAGACGTTACAAAACGATTAAGAAAATATATAAAAAGTTATTACACCTTCAGTATGTAACAATAAATTGAATGCTAATATAAACATATATCTATACGAATAAATAGCTATCAAAGATTAAATATACAATTATCAGGTCAACTGGAATTTACATTGTGAAGCACTGCCAAGGGATATTTAATCTTTGTAAATACAATGGTACAAAACTATGTTCGAGTTTGAGTATAATAAAAATAATATGTAAGTATTCAATTTGAGCTGTTTACAATAATAGAAGTAAACAATTAGAGTTGAGCAAAATCGTATGAATCCTCCTCATTTGCATTGTTTTTAAAACATTGTCACAAATTAAAAAATCTCATACACAATAACAGTGATAAAACTTTAAATTATAGCTACATTTTAAATGCGCAGCTCCGTACCAAACGTACAGATTCCTACCCCCATTTGGCACAATTAACACTCATCAACATAATATAAAAGAAACAATTCTATAAATCATCATCACCTATACCTTCGAATGCGTGATTTTCTACAAAATCTTTGCCAGTTTTGAAAGAAACGCTCGCGAATTTTTCTTGCAATTTCTTTATGGAGAAAAACTCTGGAATTTTTGCGTTGGTTGTTTCACCCACCTGTAACAGATGGAAAAATGGAAAAACAACAAAAGTGAATGATTATACTCACCACACCAATCGGACACACATCTGGATCATCTATAGAGATCAATTGACTGGAACCATCTCGCTTCATGTAAGTCCAACTTCCTCTAGAGCCAGAAAGTTCTTTATAGTCGATTCCATTTTTTTTAAGTAGAAGTTCGTCGACTAATGATTGTAAACAAACAGACATAAGAATGGCCTGATCACTCGATATTGTAATCCACTGAAGTTTGTCTTTTGACATCAAATACTCGAAAGACAATTCTAATATAGAATCATTACTTTGGCTGTTTGCAGCAACAATTTGCTTATTCTGAAACTACAGAGTGAAATGAAAATTCTCGCAAGTTCAATATTCGTTTTACATGAGTGGCTGTGATTCTCCAACAACGCATGCGCGTCACTTTAAAGCTGCCTTCTTTGACAAGCTGACCTGGCCCTACGATCCTCAAATTAAGTTCTTCACCGCCGATCGCGACCAATACCCTCGTGCAAGGCTTTGGATAATCACAAAAACATGTATTGAACTGAATATAACCATAATACTTTAATGTTCGAGCTATCTCTATGTACTCCTTTTTCTCTAAACGCGCTTGAAATTGAACTAATTCCATTTTAACATTATTTGAGCAGAAAATCCAACCTCGTTCTATGTCGGAAACTGTTTGTACATATAACAAATTTAGACTGACTGGATCTGTCATTAATTCTAAATCATAATTTATGTCCCAATAACTGTAAGTGAAATAATTTTAATTAACATTCACACCTTCTAAAAACTGTCTTGTAATACCTTTTACGTAAGACTATCTTATGTGACGGCTGCATGGACTTATGTGATATGTATGGGGATTCAAAATCTTGCAATTTTCGTAACATCGTTATATCTCCGTTCTCTGCCTTCTTGATTAAAAACAAAGCAAAATATCGAACATACTCCAGCGGTAGCTGTATCTGCTTACACACTTTTAGCAACACTTGTTCTGTCCTATCTGTCGATAACACTCTGACTGTTATTTGAAAATTGTTCATTGTGTAAATATCTAGTTTCATTTCTTGTTTCTTTTCGCTTGTTGTTTCTTGTTGAGCAGATAATAAAAAACCTATAAGTAATTCCGACGATATAAGCCTCGAATCCTGGCCCACTACGGCAAAATAATTTAATTATATGTCAGGTAAACCAAATAACACCAACACATACATGTTTGTATATATTTTTCCAACAGGATCCTTCGATCTTCCAACTGTCCTCCTGTTAAAGGTAAGATTTTCTTTGGCGGAAATAAAGGTAACGTTTCTGCACCGAAAGCTTTCCGTAGTTGCTCGTTTAAGTTATGCAGTTGTCTATAACGTACCGTACAATGAAATACTCCATTGATATGTATGTTATATCCCTAGAAAAAACGAATATGGGATAATTGTAATTCGATTTTGTTCTACTTACCACAAATATGCTGCCATTGCCGTCATTTAATTCTTTTGTGTCTGGTATAGCGAAATGCATTTTGAAGTCAATTTGTGTGGGCTCCTCCGGATTTTCTTTAATTTACCCACTTTTATTGCTGAGTATTTGAATGTTTTTGTAATTTCAATTTAATTGGGAAGCCATGTTTTCTTTACAATTGTTTCCACGCGATGACCAATCAGAACAAAGTTACGTTAAAGCTACATATGCATCTACACTAAAGGATCGTACACACGAAGACATCTTTCGAGACAAACTGCGGCAACATCACGCCTTGCCGCGTAAAAATGGTTTTTCACACGAGAACGGATTACAATTCTGGTAACGCGATTAATTCATATTTGATTATCGTTATTTTATCTCTTCCTGACTGTCACCGAGCCGTAGTTTTACAGGCAGTATAGTTGCAGAGAGCCCAATCTGCAATAACGCGCCCAAAACAATGTGTATTCCTCATTAGCAGGTTCACTCAGTCCATACACAAAAAGGAGTTGCTTCAAATCATCATACCTACAGTTCGAGCTAATTAAGCATTTGTATTTTAGTAGCCAGAAATCTTGAGCCAGACGCTCGGACATTCTTTGTTAAATTAAGTTTACACTTAGAGCTTTTTCGCCTTTTGAATTTTCTTAGATGCGTAAAAAATTAACACGAAGTTGGCCAATTCTCCTAATGCAGCCCAAGAAAATGTTTAATATTTTTCAAAGTTCATTTATCATCAAGAAAAATGCAAGTAATTGTATGACGTAAAAGTAATATTAGCTCACTATTTATTTAACAGGTAAAGAATGTGGATGCGGTTATCGCAGCTATGCTGTTTTCATAAACAGACCGTCGTACGATTGTAAAGCACAAATGTCACCTTGAGCATTAAAGCGCAGACTCATTCGCATCGAGAGCTACCATTGGTTGTTGAAATGAAAATTATCCCCTCACTTTTTGGTGCAATTTAACGTCTTTCGCGGACGGAGCGGATCCATTTTTTAAAATAACTCGGCCTTAAATTGTGTTCGATAGTTTGCTTCAATTGAAAATATGTTCCAACACAAGCTCAAGCTCTACGAAGAAAAGGTATGTACTCCATACTTAATATCGCTGATTTGTTAAATTGAAACTTGATTATTAAACTTTTAACCGTAAGCACCAATTTCAATTCATTTGTTATTAAGGGCTTTAAGTCGTATTCGCGTTTTAGGGTAAAACAATTTTGGGCGGAAATTCATAGTTTGGAAAATGAAAATATATCTGTCAGTTTTGCTGCGAGTTTTGGTTTTAATAAACAATTCTGAACAGATATTTTGGATTACTTATGCTTTTGACGAAATTTAAAGAATTTCCGTAAACTTGCTCTACATTGTTCGTAACATTAGAAAAGTGATCCAGTGCCTTAAAAGTATACTTATAGGTACGTTACTGGTAGGGATCAAATTGGTTGGTCCTGGTTACTGGATTTGAAAATTATTCAAACTGCCCATTTTTTGTGCCTCGCCACGGCATCTTAGTTAGGTTCTAACAGATACGATGTCTCCTAAACTGGGGCAAAATTGCCGATTTTATTTTACTTGACATAATAATTGAATATAACCAAAAATGTCTAATTTTCTAACAGTTTATTTCATGAGAAAGCTAATAGAAATTGGTGTTTTAGACTATGACACAATTAGAACCAAAGTAATTTATTATTTTTAACGTAACTTTCAATCATTATTGCATCGCCTTCCAAATAATTAAATGTGAACATTTATCAGAGACTTCCCGTCCATCTCTGCGCCCGACAGGCGTCAGACCGCACGCCTGGTATCTAAACGTCGTATCGCCTTTCCCTATATTCTGCTGAACCATCCATTTTAAACGTGCAATTATCAAAAATTAATTGATCCATAATATAATTTTTTGAAATCCAACATTTAATGGCACAAAAAATGGGTTGCGTTGCTAAATTCGCTTGGCTGTAAAGTTCTTGGTACTTATATTTTATACTCTTACTTAAGTTTCAAAAAATCGGGTTTTGAAGTTGTGCAATTTGTCGAATGTACCCACGTAATTATAATTAATCGCTAATCTATATCTTGAATAGTTTTAATGTTTACAGATCAGGTGCCTATCACACGTATCTCTTTGTTTATAGCTGTTTATTAAACAGAGTCTCATAGCTTTGATAAAAATAAAATTCCGTATTAATTAGCATGATATGTGCAATACACACTATATAGGGATGTTTTGAAAATAATATTTATTTGTTATTAATTTTTGTGTTCGGTAATAATGAATGGGCATTTCTTATGTTATTACCTATTATTTATCTGCCCATGGTTATCACTGACGTATGTATGTACGTACCTACCTGTAAGTTCTCCTGGTTACCATGTTTTAAATAAAATCTTGCTTGGAGACAGTATCCTAGTTTAGTCCCTGTATCGCGGCTCTATCCAAAAAAGGTCCAAAATCTTCCTGAAGCATTATCTTGTAATAGTAGTTCGTACTGAATTTCAACCTTTGAGTGGATAGTATCTCTAGTAGAGCTTTGGCTTGTCTCTGATCAGGGATATTCTTCCATAATTTCTCGTGCCGTTCTTTTAAAATGGTTAATTGTAACTGTTACATGTGCAATTCCACATGCCAGTGGGAATTCTACAAAAAGCAACTGCCTACCTTTCTTAGCAAGCAAACACCAGAATGCTCAGGATCTCACATCAGCCTAATTGACGTAATAATTATTTTCAGCCAGCTGGCCGAGGTTGAAACTCTAAACCTTCCCCATATAATTTTATTCTGGATAAGTTAAAGGCGAATTGCCATCCTCAGGCGAGTAAAAAGGTTGACTAAATAATTAAATTGTTTATCACTCGCGTCCCCGCCTCTTTTATTGATGCTACTCGACTATGGGTTACCAATGAGATTCTCTTATTCCTCTTCAATAGATTATGGGAACATGCGTTATAATTGTAAAAAAATCTGTGCCTTGTGTAATAGCTGAGACTGAAAGGATTTATACATTCTTCTCACTTACCTTTGGAGAGGATTTCGTAAATTCCCAAATTATTTATCTAGGTTTTTTTCTATTTGTAATTACTCACCAACACCTGGTACATTTTCTTATTCAAAAGATTGATAAAATGATAAGGTACCATGGATGCTAAATAAAATTTAACCCACACAAAGGAATGGTATCAATGAACTTGAAATTCAACTTGGCAATTAATGAGAAAAAATCATCACAATCAAAATTTGTTTCTTATTATTAATAAAAAATATACCAATTTGTTCACGGAATAAACTTCCGACCTCTTCATGAATGTTAAATTGACTTTGAGCATACATTGTTTATACAAAATCCCCAAAACTATCGACTCATATTTTTTCACAATGCAAGAAATTCAAATAACTTGCATTTATCGATGAGTCGAAGTTTTCACCAGATTACCTTTGGAAAAGTAGCAACCAGTGTTGGGTAAGATCCTTTAATTCTGGATCTAGATACAGATTCAGATACATTTAAACATCATGATCTAGATCCAGATCAAAGATCCACACTTAAGAAAGGGTCTATCTAGATTAAGATCCAAGATCCTCCCAAAATGATCTAGATCCTTTATAGATCCTTCATAGGTAATGATGATTTACATGGGTGGATTTGTGTTTTGAGTCACTATTCGGAAGGTTCCATCCTCTAAATGGGTCGACACATGTATACGATTTTTTGCAGAGGATGATTACCCGTATTTAAGGGTTCGTCCCTACGATTTTATTTAATTGCATTTTCTCTGCACACCAAACCGCGAGCGCGAAGTACGGAAGTGTATTTTTAGTAATTTTTTCGCACTAAATTAAGTAAGAGCTTGGTTTCTATTTTAAAGTTTGAACTACTTTTTAATAAAATCATAATCCAATTGGAGACAGTAGAATGTCACATATTTATTTATTTATTTATTACCTTTAATTAGCAGGGGGGTTGCTGCTCTACCAACCCAACCCACTATAGGTACATTTATGGAGATACCTACTGATTATATATTTTCTTTTCAGGATGCTGTGGAGACTCGTTCTGGATCATTCTGGTTGAACTTTCGGAAACGCGAGCAGAATCGCCAGAAAACTGTGGAACGTTTTACTAGAGACATGGACGGTGTCGTACTGGCCCATAGATTTAAAATAATTGGACTACTTGGCAGAGGAACCTTTGGGTCCGTTTATCGGGCGGTTGACATTTATACATCCAAACGCCTTGCTCTCAAAGTATCAAATGACAAGTATTACAACTTTTCCTTGACAAAAGAGGGCGAATTAATTCGAGCGCTCAACGTTGTGGGTGGCGCGAGGATGGTAACAAATATTGTTGGTTCAACTATGTGGAGAGGATTCAAGTGTGTTTTGTATAGAGAGTGTGTGGGAACACTGCTGAGTCCGATTACAATGCATCCTAACATTGGAGTATCTTTGAATTTAATCCGAATTTACACCAGACAGCTGCTTCAGGCCTTGTGCTTTTTAAACTCAAAGAGGTTGATCCATTGCGATATTAAACCCGAAAACGTTTTAGTGTGTCGGGTCGGATCTGCGGCAATTAAGCTTGGCGATTTTGGGGCATCACAATCGTTCCACCAACCAGAACTTTGTTTTAACTATGTGCAAAATCGTTGCTACAGGGCACCGGAGGTATTCTTAGGAATGCCAATAACAAGGGCAATCGATATGTGGTCAATAGGCTGTATTATGGTGGAGCTGTTTGCAGGCTGTATGCTTTTCGATGGATCCGATTCGATAGAAACCTTCCATTATTTAATGGAACTGTTCGGCTTTCCGCCTGCCGATATGATTGAATTTGGGAGTAACTCTCCGTTTTACTTCATATCTTCTGGCAATAGATATTTTCTCAAACCCATTGAAGGTCGAGATTTTAATGCTCCAGGCAGTAAGGAGTTGCTAGAAATTTTGGGTTTATATTCCGATAAAATCTGGACAATGAAGACAGGTGGATTAAATGTAACTGAATGTTACGAATTTTTTAATCTGGTATCTAAGATACTTGTTTACCGTCCGAATGCACGTTTGAGACCAGAAAATGCTTTGCACCATGTATTTCTAAATAAAAAAATACGCCCACGTGTCAAGAACTTAAAGCGCAAGCGTTATTCCAAAGAATGTCCTTTCTAAATATTTGGATATACCTACATGCATCTAAGATATGCCTTGATTTGACTTTATGCTTAGACTACAATATTATTGGTTTATCATACCTATCTTGCATTTAAGTACCTACATATACATTTTGTTTTATAAAGTTTATTAGCACAATTTTTATTGTTTGGGCGTAGTTGCTTGTTTAGTAATAGTTGCCAGATAGATTTGTTTTAGTTAGGGATGATTTATGATTTATAAATATTTTTCAACAATGAGCTATATAATATGTACCTATGCGGGCTGCTAACTAATAAATAACAATATCTTTAATACTTTATTTTCTTCCAGTTAAACTGCATTAAAAAATATCTCACATGTTATACGTACATACCTATATCGTTAAAACAATAGAATTTCAATTGCATATTTAGTTTAGTTGGGGCATTTGTGATATATTATGGGATTAATAAATATGTAGGTGCAAAAATGATGTTGTTTTGGACACTGAGAGACCATCGAGATGCCCCTAAATTACCTGGAGTACCTACAACAAAAAAGTGAGTTGGAAGATGCGCTAAAAACATTTCTACAAATAAGAAAGTTGATATGCGTACATCTGAATGTTACAATATGCGATATGCTTGTCTTCATTAGAAGCATCTGTGGTTAAAATTTCAAAAAAACATTTGTATAAATAAATTTCATTTAAATTTAAACAATATGAAATTGCGCATCCGCAAAACATTTTTTTTTATTCGGCATTAGTTTTATTTGAGGTCTACGTACAAAATTTCATTTAAATATCTTAACAGATTAAAAAATTGGGATTGCGCAAATACAAAGGTGGGTCGCGCATGCACAATTTTGTTTTATTCATCTGCATAGTTACCTGAAGTTTAAGGAATATTTACTAACACAGAAAACCGGACATTCGATATGTTCTTTGTAGCAAGAATTATAAAAGAAACCCTTTTTTGGAGGTTTGGGCTGTAATTTTTTGGTGCGTTACTCTACGTAGCCGAAAAACAATAGCGACCTTTCCTGAAGAACATGTGTATCAATTTTCAAAGCGAACGGACGTTTCTACACAAAGTTATCGTGCACACAGACAGACAGACAGCAATACACAATTAAAAACAATCTCGAAGTTTGTTAATAAACGGATATAGGACCTTTGGACAGACGAATAATTGGTGCGTATTTTAATTTCTGCCTAATTGACCTACTTTTACTTTTAATAAGAAAGCTGCAGGGCGCACAAGGAGCTCGCGTTAGTGTGCTGCTCTTTTAGCCGAATATCTGGAGCAGAGTTTTCTTAAAAACCTAAGAAGGAAAGAAAAATTAATCCCCCCCTTCGTCAAAATTTTTACTTGGCGCCAGTAAAGGCATGACTCTGCGAAAATGCAAATCAAGTACGATAACGACATTTATCTTCGGTATTACGTTCAATAAACAATTTAAACTATAAAAAACAAAAATAAATAAAATAATTAATTACAAATTAAAGAATTAGCCAACTCATCGAGAAGAAGTGTGGGAATAAGTGAATATTCAGACTATCGTAGTTCGTATTCGTGGAATATGGGTCACTAACATTAAATGGGATGGGATCAATTTGATTATTAGCAAACAGGGCTATGCTCGAATTCTTACCACAAAATGTTTAGTTGCCTATTAATTTGCAAATCATTACTTCTGACCATGATAGTACACCTCTTACAATAACAGACACTTAAAAAGGCCACCCTGTAAATTATTGTGTCTGCTATTGTTATGTATTATCTTTTTTTTTAATATATACTGGTATAATCAATTGCAATAGCTTTGTTTATGAGTTATTCTGCGTGCATGTAGCGGTTATTGACAATAAAAATTCAAGTAAAATATTCAAAAGAGAGCGGGCGAGGTTGGTAACTTTTAATTGTTTAGATTGATTGAACTGTAGTAATGTTGGTAGCAACGCGTGTGGACAGTTTGGCATTTTGTGATGTGAGATTTTTATTAAAGTTTTTATTATGATCTCGCTATAAAAATTTGTAAGAACGTTCACGTTAATCACAATATTAATTGTTGAAAATTTTAAGTAATTCCGTCGGAATTCGAGTGGCCCGTTGGAATGGAACGCAATATCTCCTCTACAGCTCTTCATATTTGGTTAAAAGATGAAATTAAAAATTGATGGAATGCAAATAAAAACATTAGAACATATGTGATGAGAAACATCATTTTGTTGTATTAGGATATATGGAAATGAAGCAAATATGTGTTAGTGACCGATTAAAATGTTCAGTTTGGATCTGGACCAGTAAGTGAATAGTGATAGTGTGTACGGTATGAACGGTAGGGATATGTGTTAGATTTAACGACATGATCAAGGAAAAGCACGATAAAGGGCCGGATAGTGTAAAGGAGGAGCCGGGGAGTTCTGACAAAGACTGCACAAATGCGGAGGCCTGTATTAAAAAGGAGGACGATTCTACAAGCGCAAGTTGCCCCGTAAAAAAGGAACCGGGCAGACCTATTACTAAAAATGGAGGTGTCATCGGCTCCACAAACACAGGATCCTTGCATAGTAATAGTGAACGCAAGTGTGAAATAGACGATACTTCCTCAAATAACGAGATAAGTTCTATACCGCCTAAAAGTGAGGAAGGTCTTGAGGCAGAAGTGTCTAGTGATGCGTTTGGACTCAGTTTACCCAATGCACCCCCTCATCCTCCACCACCCGATGGAGTGCAACAACTGCCCAGTAATATTATCAATAAGCAATCGAATAATATGGAAGTTCAATACATGCAACAGCAAAGTCAAATATTTGTTTTTTCTACAATGTTAGCGAATACGGGAGCAGAAGAAGTAATTCAGGGACGTTATCCTTCAATAATCGCTTATCACTGTGCACAACCGGGTACAAAAAAATATCTTGAAAAGAATCCGCTTAAAGTGAATCAGTTCAATCGTCAAAGTACTCAATGGCTCAATAATTTAACGATGATTAAAAATAAAGGCTGCACTCGAAGTCCCGGTTTAATTCCCAAGGGTCAACCACCTTTAGATAGCTTTTTAGGCCCGGAAGGTTTAGATGACATGGTAGGACTAGGTGACGGTGACCTATCGTGGGACCAAAAAAATAGCCATCACTTGGAAGGTTTGGAGAGTGTCAGTAACGGTCTACCCGATGTTGTAACAGACATGGATTCTTGCAGTCCATCGCTGGCAAACATGCAACCTTCTTTGCAGGGAGTAAAAGTGCCTGACGAAAATTTAACTCCTCAACAACGACAACATCGTGAAGAACAGCTGGCAACGATTCGGAAAATGCAACAAATGCTTTTTCCTGAGAATCAAAATGTAGAAGGTGGCGAGAGTCCCGAATTACCGCACAATATAATTGGTGGAAATCCGGGTGGTATGCACGGGACGAACGCACCCGGTCCCATGTCTGCACAAATTGAATGGCAAAAGTTGCAACAGCAGTTCTATGAAGATAGAACAAAAAAACCAGATGGTCGACAGGGCGGTCCACCGATTGGCCCTCCTGGTTCGGCCTGCGTTGGGGGACCCGCTATGCTAAGAGGTGCTCCTGGCCAGAGCCCACGCTTGCAAGGCCCTCCGCCCCCTTATCATCAAACTCAACGTTCTGCCAGTGTTCCTGTAGCATTACAAAGCCCTAACCCGGGCTCTCCTAATAATCCTACATCAAATTTGTCTTTGCCATCACCAAGAGCTTCCTCGGCCCTCAACTCTCCCGCCGAATCAAATCGACCGTTCGGCCTCACCAGACATATGAGCACCGGTCAAAGTCCAACATCACAAGAGTCTCCCACAGCACCTCGTCGTATTCCCAGTAATCCCGGTACTCCGGTATCATCTCATTTATCACCTAGTGTAACTAGTGGCAGTAATGAACCGAACAGCAGCCATCAATCGTCAGGTACGTTTTGTTAAAGTTGTCAACTTGTTATTAATTTTACTTAATGCTTAGTCGATGGAATGTTTGGACGCACACTACAATCTATGGCACAACAAAAGCAACTTAATACAGTAGCACATGGACCACCTTCTTCGGTCAAGGAACCTAATCTCATGCCCGTTCCATCACCTCAGCAAATACAGTATCTTAATACGTTCGAAGGTCAAGAATTAATTATTCAGAAACAACCAAATACCAGCCTTAAAGAAGGAAATGTGATATCACCTCCGTAAGTATCTTCACAATCACATGCGGACCAGCCTTTATAGTATCCAATATGACTAATTCTTTTTTGTTATTGATATTTACATATTCCACTTTCCTTGATTAGATAATACTTATCTCTTTGGCCTCGTAATAAAAAACAATTTATTGCACCGAAAACGATTAACAAGACGAAATTTGTCGTAATCCTTGTTACAATTCAGCCAATTATCGCTTGTATGCATGGTGATACTTCTGTTTCGATAATCGTTTTTGTTCGAACGCCGTTATTAATTACAGAAAACAATACTCTTATTGAATTGTGTAAACATTAATGTATTATCGTCGATTTAGGATACTTTTTATCAGTTAGAGAGCCTTTCGAAATCCATATTTATTATCGTTGACAGGGTGTAACTGCTATGCAACATCCTTAGATAATGTAATAGTTGCAATTTTTTATACTTCACTTATCCGTGACCCCTACAACGGCTCAAATAAATGCTAGCGAAATGATCAGTTGCATACTTTTGATACATTTCTTAAATTGATGTGTGTCCCCTTCATCCCTTTTGTAGGATAATGCTGTAGGGGTTTGGCAGTGGGGGCGCTGGGATCAACATTTTCATCACTGACCATGATGTAATTTTTTGTATATTTGTGTATTATTTTATTTTTGTTTAGTTAGGTAGACCTCTAGCCTCCTAGGTGGCGCTATAGCTGAGTATATTTTTAAGGTACACTGCGCCAAGAGAGGGAAAACAATTTTATTCTTGAAGATCCATTGTGGGAATTCTACATTCAGTTTTTCAGCTTATTCTGATATCCTGGTCTGAGCCTCCTAGCGCTATGTTTACAACCCATGACGTCGGGTTTTCATGTAGCGCTAACACCCCCTCAAAAGAAATTCTACTAAGAACTTTATTCCATTTATTTATTTATTTATCACCACAGCTTACTTACTATCCAGCTGCACAACTCTCTTGGCGGGAGCGGCTTGCGCCGATTTACGCGCGCAGCGCTTATGCCCCGCCTCTTGGGGTAAAAGACTGCATTGCCTGTTTGGCGTGCAATTAAGCCCAGTGTTGCCACGTTGACCATTTTCCCGAATTGAATTCAATTAGGCAATAAAATTTATTAAACACCTTACCCTACTTTCATTGCAATATTACGTAATATTGTACAGCAAATTCTAAACGTTCACAATACAAGCAAAGACTATGAGAATAGTCTTTGTTACAATACAGCACAAAAATCACCTACTACGGTACTGTGAAGCTACCGTGCGATGAAAATTCGTTTAATCCGGCCCCGACTTTTACCCCAAGCGCGAGAAAGTGCGCACCATTCCATCTCGCTTGGTTGTAGACCGCCAGATCAAAGGCGCCGCTCGAGAGTTGCGGAGCTGGATAGTAAGTAAGCTGTGGCCATAAATGAATATGAATTACTCTCTAATGAGCGAGTGTAAATGATTAGGAGATGGCATCAGCTTTTAAAATTATGCCACCACGTCAGACCCACTTGCTTGTAGAAGTGGCACAATGGTGATACTAGCATCAACGTAGCTCTCCCCCTCCCCTCTCATCTCGAAAGTTATGGGCTTTATTATAAAAGAAACAATAAAGTAGTATTTGTGTCTATGATACTCGTAAATGAATCCATGTTGTTTCCCAAAAAAATCAGAAAAACAGAAAGAATCCTGAATGTTATACAGAGTGGGCCAGATGAAACCGGCCTGAGAAGTATATATCATTCACCCAATGCTATAGCAGACCCGAGGGAGCATCCTGTCGTAAAATTTTGTACACGAGATATCCTTTTTAGGCAAGATATCCCCAGGCATGCCCATATCTCCTTGGATCTCCCCAGATATTCTGGGGTCTCCTCAAGTATATTCGTAGATATTTCTTTAGATAGTGCCACTGGTGGATGTCGAGGAATTAGGGTTCACTTTTAAAATAAATATAAGGCGTCCCTGACCTTGTACTATCCTAAAAGCATTTGTATTTGTTGAAATTGGCCCATACAATACTAAATACTGTTCATTCTTAATTCATTGGGGTAAATTGTCCCTGGCAAATTTATTTATGATATTTATTTTATTTGTTTAACCAGAAACCATACAGAATAAAAATTCCAATTACATGGCACTGGGGCTCTGAACAAATATTAGGACTTAAGATCTAATTTGATTTATTATTGAATTTAGGGGATCGTGAAAAAAGTCGATATCATTAACTGAGGACAACTTATTTAAAGTGATCAAGATCTTAATAAGTGGGGAAGTTGTGTTGTTAACTGCAAAAATAGTATTATTTTGCCTTAGCTTAACAAATGGTACCTTAAGCTTAATTTCTTGAAGTAATTAGGAAGAGTTTAACAAATTGTGTAAAATTTTGAAGACAAAAATTGTGGAGGCAATGTACCAATATATACATTTGACCCTTCAATTGTTGAAATTATTAGCTCAGTATCATACACATTCATTATAAGCAGATATTTTACTGGTATTTGCATCTGTAACATGTTTTCTGCGTCATGAAACAAACCCATTTGAAACCAGTAATGAAAAGAAAACAATTAGGCGTCCCTAATCTTTGTTATTAGAGTCAGACAGGTACCTTAAATCGGGTTCGTAATATTGGAAAAAATCGTGTGTTTTTTTAATAGACCCTAAGCACTTAATGGGTTCTAATTACACAAGCGGCTACGGAGAGTAACCGGTGACGTTGTGCCTGCGTTGTGTACTCTTTTAGTACATATGTTACAAATTCAAATTATTTCCCATTCCGGGAATCGAACCCGGGCCTCCTGGGTGAAGCCCGGCTATCATTGGCACTCATTATCTTCATTTAAAATTTTTGTAGAAATTTGCATTTCAAAAAAGTTTAAAAAAACAATGTGAAACCGACAAATAACCTAAAAAAAGACGCATACCCAACGTCAAGTTACACCCTGTATCCCCTAATCTAATTACTCGACGTGAATTTTTAGTTAAAAAATTTGTACTTCATAACTTAATAATTACATTGACAAAATCACTATTGTTATGCTATTCTGCCATTAACACAAGAATACTTAGTTTGGCTTGTTTGCCTTTAAGGGTGCAGACTCAATGAAGCTTGCGGGGTTTGACTGGGGCAATGAACCCATCCAAAATTTTGACCGTTTACAACAGGAGTAGGATTGAATCATAATGTTTGGTATTTCTCTGATAGGCCGGCCCGTGTGGCGCAGTTCAGTTAAAGCTCAACTGAGGTTCGAATCCGGGTTCGGGCATGGATATTTGTAAATGTATAGTGGATTGGGTTGGTAGAGCAGCCTTGGCTGAAACCCCGCCCACTGAAAAATAAAGGCAAAATAAAATAACATAGATGTAGAACCAGCTGCAAATGATTGAATTCAAGCAATTGCCTCTTGTTGTCTGATAATACAGGGCGTTTCAAAAAGAATCATCTGATTTTAAAAATGTATTGCTATTCATCTATAAGTCCGATTTGATAGAACAATGTACTGTTAGTAAGAGGAAGCTCTCGAGTTTCGCGTGGTTTCCGCTAGGTAGCAGTAGCGCGCTTCTGTCAACGCCCAGCTCAGTTGTTGTCAAAATGGCGTCTAAACAAATTATAAACCTACAAAATCGGATGATTCTTTTTGAAACGCCCTGTATTAAGGTTGGTATTCTGGATTAGGGGGAAAATTAAGTAGTCCGCTAGGATGTGGACGTTTTGCTTTCAGAGCATACAAAGTATATGCAAAGGCGCAATATGGACTTAAGAACTTTGATTGCCTTACTAAATTCAAAGAAAAAAAAGGTTTTTATGCAAGTAATCCTCAAAGGGCGAAAGAGTGGTGCAAGCTCCCTTAAATTGTAAAAGGCGCCTCTGTTTGCTTTACCTTTTTTTTTGTATAAAGCCATTGTCAGGCAGAGGCTGTTAGACAAAAATTTAGATACATATTTACCTTGAATTCTGTTTTTGATTGCTGGTTGGTTGCTATTGGTTTCTAACCTTACAGGCATAATCCATCATACTTTATTGAACGCTACTGTGGAAGGGTTAACGCAATGCCCATCACAAGTTTATAGCTTATACACCACAAAAAAAATAGATGCCATTTTATAACACTTAAATCGTTTATAGGGCTTTATCTTCTTCCATGGATAATGCTTATTCTGGCAATACGGAAATACCATCAACGCGTGTTTCTGGTCCAAATACACCAACTTCAATCGATATTGGGCGATTTCCCACAACGCCAGGAGTATCGGCGGAAGGTTGTCGATTTCAGATACCGAGTCCCCATACTCCTACAGCGACCACAGGTACCCTTTTTGCACAATTAATTAGGAAACGCATAACCATTTTGTTCTAGGTGAAAAAGCGCAACGGATTGGAGGTCCTACTGCTGCGGGTTTAAGTCCACAAACAGGTCCAGGCCCATCGTCAGATTCTCTTAAAGGAGATCTGTTTCCGACACCCAGTCCGCATATGATGGATGTGCACAGGTTTCCAGGACCTAATACATCTCCTGTTCCAAAAATGAGCGGGGGTTTTGTAAATGTTTCTCCATCAGGAAAACCGTCTTCTTTGGATATGCCTCCGTATGGATGTCCTAGAGCTGATAATGTTCCTTTGAATCCGAACTGTACAAGTACCATGTCAGGGAATCCTAAAGTGTCTCATTTTGATCCCATATCTTCTTTAGCACAAATGAGTCAACAACTAACGAATAGTGTGGCTAGTTCTTTAAACGGCCAAGGTGGTCAGGGTGGAGGTATGATGAGCTTTGGTTCAACTTCAATGCACATGATGGATATGGGCAGTTGTCACAGTTTAGGAGATCTAGATCAAGGTCCTGGTAATATGCTGGGAATGCAGATGCAAGGGCCTCCGCATGGATTTCATCCCAGTTCTCCTATGGGACCAATACGGTCATTGTCGCCCAAATTACCAGGTGCCTTCCCCAATCACATACCCATGCCTCGCATGATGGGTCGACCGCCAGGACCTAATCCGTACAATGGAGCGAATGTGCAAGTAAAACCTAATGCGCCAAACACGATACAATATATGCCGGCGAAATCTCAACTTGGCAATACAGCAAGTCCGAGGGGACCACCTAGTCTAGAATTTTTACAAAGATTTGCAAATCCACTTTCAAATTTGGAATCAAAAATGCCCACGCAAAATCTACAATATTTTCCAAATTGTGGACCAGGTGGTGGACAAATGCAAGGACCGGGTGGTCCTGTAGTGCCCCCGCACATGGCACATATGGATGGTCCTATGGGCCCCGACGGTTCAATGGGCCCCATGATGCCAGGACCAATGGGAAACGGAGCAGGTGCAATTATGGGTGGAAGTATGGGTATACCTGGTCCCGGAGGAATGATACCTTTGATGAGAGGTCCGATGAGACCACCTGGGATGATGAGAATGCCACAAATGGGTTTCAATGGTCCACCCAGTGGAGGTCCGGATGGAATGTTTAATCCCGGCCCAAATATGAACAATCCCAACGCACAGATGTTCGTAAGTGGTCCTAAAGGCAGCCCGATGGGTATTGGAGCACCAGATGCCAGTCAGCCCCTACCCCCTTCGATGGGACAGAGCAATAGTTTTAAAAATTCTCAGTTTGTGGGACCAACCACGGCTGATCCCAATTACGCACAGCAATTCCATAACTTCCAGCAGCAGCTTTACGCAACGTGCACACGTAGTCAAATTGGTAGTCAAACGATGGGCCCCGGACCGGGGCCTCCACATTCGCAGCAACCGCCCTATTTTAATCCCAAATGATAATAGCAAACGTGGTGCTGAGTGTACTGTATCAAAGGATTTTGTTTTATTTTTGATATTACTAATGACAAAAACCTGGCAATAATGCGATGTGAGGTTCATTTTGTATATTCTCGTCTGTTTATATGTTGTACGCATCGAATTCAAGTGCAGTTAAGGGTTTGGCATCCACTGTTGGTGTACAAAAATGCCTTCCCTGTATGAGGGCTCTGCTCGCCTGATACTTATGCTACTTTGGAATTGTAAATTTGCCATAACTTAGAAAGACAATTTAGTATAAATTACTTTTAGTGTTGGACTTGCTTAGTCCGTTCGAAGACAAGAGGTTTCACTATTGCTCATATTGATTTGTTTCTATCCACCTGTTATTCGTTTTATTGTACATTTTATGAGTATTACATGAATGAAATGATAACAATAAAATTCTATATTATATATGTTCGGCTATTTTCATTTTGAATATACCCAATTCGAAAAACTTGGCATTTAGTATTTGTGAAAATTGACAAGATATTATTGTTCCAAATAGTAGTCAATTGTTCTTTCTCAAAATAATCATCGTCTCGGTAGTAGCAGTTCCATGTGACGGATTCAGAACATGGTTAAATAATAAGATGAAAGTGCGAGTCTTCTTTCTAAGCATTGTAATTGTTGGTCCTACGAACATTAGAGTGTTCAAAAATTAAAAGTTTTTGGTGTGGTCTCAGACCTGCCTAATATAAGGACGTTATTTCGTCTATGAATAATTTCGGTTGTAAAAAAAGCAAACTCCCTGACATCTATGAAATTAATGATGTATTAAGGCGATTGTGAACATCACTTTCAGGTTATTTTGAACACACCTCAATTTCCCGAATGGTCTCTCACACGCATGATCTTTTGACTCCATTTTTCACGAATTGTTACTACAATTAGAAAAGTGGTTGTTTAACTTCACGATCGTTTTTTTCAATCGCGAGATTCGTTTGTTATTTTAATGTTTTAGCTTAAACTAGATGTCCATAATGAGTGACATTGAAATTGACCACAAACAAAAAGAGATCTCGACTAATTTGGACCAATTTCCCACAATGGGAAATCTATTTTCTAAAGATTCTGAGTTAGAACTGAACAATTTCGAAAACGGAGCCACTTTGGAGGAGCATGGAGCATCCAACTCGTCTCCTACATCGAAACCTTTAATAGCCGACACTGATTACTTTTTCAAATTCTTCGATAAAGTAATTCATTTTTTTGTTATATGCAGATGTACTTCTAAGCCTTGCTTTCAGTCGGTAAACAAAGACTCCCTCCAAAACTGTACGGAAGATACGCTCGCATTGGAATCCGAAAAAATTATACTTAACGCGTTTCTTAATGAAGTGCGAAATGCTAAGCCAGCACCCTTGAAGAACTGGTCAGCTCTTCAACATTATATTTATTACATATATCGTCACGTAATCTCGTCTAAGCCTTGCAACAGTAACGAAATTTTTTCGAATGTTATTATTAAGAAAATACGCGAACTAGTAGAAGGGTACGTTTTCGTATTCCAGTATTGTTAACTACATTCCGATCTTTCAGATTAATGCAAGAAGATCTCACGCAATTCTGCATCCGTCTAGTTACTTTAATAAGGGAGTACTCTATAGTTACTAGAGGACATTTTGATGCGTTACGATACCCCAAGGTTTCTTCGTACCTAATCAGTAAGCATTATTTTAATTTTATGTAATACAGTTAGTCAATCCTATGGTCACACTTTTCTTCAGTTTCACACACATTTTCCATCCATGCTGTATGTACCAAAACGTGTGAATTAGCAATACTTATCTAGCATGGATTTTGCATATTTCTTGTGTTATTAGCAATAACGATAGAGCAATAAATATGCATGTGAAAGATGCGTGTTTGGGCACTACTTATATGAAATATTGCGATTGATATTAAATCCACAAAAAATACAGTTATGTCTGTATATTTTATTGGGAAGATGTGTCGATTAAATACCAATCGCAATAGTTGGTTTATTTTCACCAAAAAACAAAAAGAGAAAACAGACACATAAGTAATACAAGTGAACAGGGGTGGACTGGGTAACTGCGGGCCAGGTGGAATTGCATAGGTTATGGGCCATTAAAGTATTAGTGTAGTAATGAAGGCGGGAGGGGTGGGGGGGTAGCTCTGAGGTGCACCACAAAAACATTTTAAAGTACTCCTTTCTCGAAAATAAATTACCATACAGTTTTTTTTTAATTGCAGCTGATAATTAAAAGTAACAAAATATACAATCCACACGAGGTGCGTCGCCTATCATTGTATTTCAGCACTTTCATGCTACGACAAAAAATGATAAATTCATTGTAAAACACTTCAATTAAAACAGAATTTTTTAACAACCTAACATCAACCCCAATTAGAGAAACGTGTTAATAATTTATTAATAGTGCAAGAAACTAAATACAGCACATACTTATAAATTTCCAACGGGCCATTATGATCTACAGGCCAGGTGGCAGTCACCACCCGCCTCCCCCCCCGGGCCAGTGCGCCCCTGGTTATGCACTGCCTTTTTTTGAGCCCCGAAAAAAAAATTGTCTCAGATCGACCCGGAAAAAAAATTTTGTTATAGAATGTGGCCTGTAGAATCCATAATTTCAAACAGTTCCAAGATTGGGCTACTAGTTCAAAAGTTACAGCCCTTTGAATTTTTTTTCGAAATTGGTTTCTAGTCTATAACTTTTGATTGAGAGGTCTGATCGAAAAAGTACGAATTGATTTGGATTCTACGCACCCAAATTAATAAGAAAAAGTGTTTTCCCGAGAAATTTTGGTGTAGTCGATTTTTGGTAAAAAAGGAAGGTTATACACTGCCTTTTTTTGAGCCCCGAAAAAAAATTGTCTCAGATCGACCCGGAAAAAAAATTTTCTTATAGAATGTGGCCTGTAGAATCCATAATTTCAAACAGTTCCAAGATTGGGCTACTAGTTCAAAAGTTATAGCCCTTTGAATTTTTTTTCGAAATTGGTTTCTAGTCTAACTTTTGATTGAGAAGTCTGATCGACAAAGTACGAATTGTTTTGGATTTTACGCACCAAAATTAATAAAAAAAACTGTTTTCCCGAGAAATTTTGGTGCAGTCGATTTTTGGTAAAAAAGGAAGGTTATACACTGCCTTTTTTTGAGGCCCGCAAAAAAAATTGTCTCAGATCGACCCGGAAAAAAATTTTCTTATAGAATGTGGCCTGTAGAATCCATAATTTCAAACAGTTCCAAGATTGCGCTACTAGTTCAAAAGTTACAGCCCTTTGAATTTTTTTTCGAAATTGGTTTCTAGTCTACAACTTTTGATTGTCTGATCGAAAAAGTACGAATTGATTTGGATTCTACGCATCCAAATTAATAAGAAAAAGTGTTTTCCCGAGAAATTTTGGTGTAGTCGATTTTTGGTAAGAAAGGAAGGTTATACACTGCCTTTTTTTGAGCCCCGAAAAAAAAATTGTCTCAGATCGACCCGAAAAAAAAATTTTCTTATAGAATGTGGCCTGTAGAATCCATAATTTCAAACAGTTCCAAGATTGGGCTACTAGTTCAAAAGTTACAGCCCTTTGAATTTTTTTCGAAATTGGTTTCTAGTCTATAACTTTTGATTGAGAAGTCTGATCGAAAAAGTACGAATTGTTTTGGATTCTACGCACCCAAATTAATAAGAAAAAGTGTTTTCCCGAGAAATTTGGGTGTAGTCGATTTTTTGTAAAAAAGGAAGGTTTATACACTGCCTTTTTTTTAAGCCCCGAAAAAAAAAGTGTCTCGGATCGACCCGGAAAAAAATTTTCTTATAGAATGTGGCCTGTAGAATCCATAATTTCAAACAGTTCCAAGATTGGGTTACTAGTTCAAAAGTTACAGCCCTTTGAATTTTTTTTCGAAATTGGTTTCTAGTCTATAACTTTTGATTGAGATGTCTGATCGAAAAAGTACGAATTGATTTGGATTCTACGCACCCAAATTAATAAGAAAAAGTGTTTTCCCGAGAAAATTTGGTGTAGTCGATTTTTGGTAAAAAAGGAAGGTTATACACTGCCTTTTTTTGAACCCCGAAATAAAAATTGTCTCAGATCGACCCGGAAAAAAAATTTTCTTATAGAATGTTGCCTGTAGAATCCATAATTTCAAACAGTTCCAAGATTGGGCTACTAGTTCAAAAGTTACAGCCCTTTGAATTTTTTTTCGAAATTGGTTTCTAGTCTATAACTTTTGATTGAGAAGTCTGATCGAAAAAGTACGAATTGATTTGGAATCTACGCACCCAAATTAATAAGAAAAAGTGTTTTCCCGAGAAATTTTGGTGTAGTTGAATTTTGGTAAAAAAGGAAGGTTATACACAGGGGCGGACTGAGTACTTACGGGCCATTAATGTATTAGTGTAGTGTAGCTCTGAGGTGCACCACAAAAACATTTTAAAGTACTCCTTTCTCGAAAATCAATTACCATACAGTTTTTTTAAAATTGCAGCTGATAATTAAAAGTAACAAAATACAATCCACACGAGGTGCGTCGCCTATCATTGTATTTCAGCACTTTCAAAATACTACGACAAAAAATGATAAATTCATTGTAAAACACTTCAATTAAAACAGAATTTTTTAACAACCTAACATCAACCCCAATTAGAGAAACGTGTTAATAATTTATTAATAGTGCAAGAAACTAAATACAGCACATACTTATAAATTTCCAACGGGCCATTATGATCTACAGGCTAGGTGGCAATCGCCCCCCGCCCCCCCGTGCCAGTCCGCCCCTGCAAATGGGTCAAATCCAAAGACTCCGTGGGGTCACGCCGAGGTGCTCTGCCGTTTTTTTAGACGCTCTTTATGGGTTTATTTATTTATAGTCTTAAAATTCATGCCAATTAAGCGCGCTTCATTTAACACCAAACACAACCTGATTTGCTGCAATACATCTAATTACTGACGGTTAATTATGATTAGGTACTTGCTTTGCAGAGATAAAATTCCCAAATTCGTTGATTAATTGACACTAATTGTTACCTGAAATGTCGGATCAACCGCAAAAGGTCATCAATAAGTACCTGAATAAGCTGCTTTGCAGGTTTAGTGCTTAACAATGGGAAACGAAAATTGTTTAATAACTAACTGAAATCATCCAATATTAATTTTCTCTTGTCTTCCAAATATCCAGAGCTTGTCGGGCTGCAAGAATAATTAAAATATCTCTATGGAAACAATTCGAAAACTGAATAATTAGCTACAGCAGCACCAGCTAAAAGGATGCTACAAATTAAAGCAACTGCTTCATCAATAGATCTGAAAGTTACAGTTTTTCTTAAAGAAGAGCCAGTTTCAGTTCCTCCATGTACACGCAGGTTTCATCCATTCTTTAATTCTGACCAAATTCATGAAAAAAAAGGGTGGTTCGTTACAGTGTAACTGCCACACTACAAAGGACCTTAACTTTACTTCAACCTTTTTCTTATAATGAATGCGACTCGAATTCATTTTTCCACACACCCAACAACCACACACAAACCTAATAACGCAGAGAGAAAAGGTGCATGCGCCAACATTCTGAAATTTTACCAGCACTGATTGAATTATATTCACATACCAATTGCGTTTATAATAAAACAAAAAGAAAAATGGTATTTTGTAAACTATGATGACCACAAAAGGTGTCTTTAATAATTCCAGAATGAATAAAATAATCATATTTATCTTTATTTAAAATTGCTTAAAGTAGCACTGCTACAAAAATTACATTCTACTATAAAACATTGTATGTTAGAATAATTTAATATTTTATAATATGTATATTCATAAAAAAGTTACAACAAAAATGTACAATAGCAAAAATAATCAATCACCTATTGTAAAATAACATTTAGTTACATGGCAAATTATTACTAGGTAAATAAATAACAAGAAAACAAGTAAAACTATTAACAAAATTGAAGCAACCTTATTAAAAACTATGCTCAAGGAAAACAACCAATATTTACAAGTAAAATATACAATTTGGTATACATAGAATTAAATTCAAGTTCTACAATTGCATACAGTTCCGAATTAAAATTATAACATTATCGTGCATTATTAGATTTATTTGCTCCACTTGAGGTGCAAAGTATCCATAAATTAAAAAAAGTGTTTCCATTTGTTACATTAGAGTGCTCTATTTTTTTTTATAGGAACTCTGTAATCGAAGATTTAACTCAGGCAAGAAAAAATTAGTTTCGTAAATGTGACTGTCAACTATTTTTAGGCTAGTTTAAATGCAGCTGGATGCAAAAAGAAATCAAATGAGTCAACCAAAGAATATTTAAAAAATGAAATCGAAAGGCACAATTTTAATCCATAGCTATTGTATAGATTACGAGGATATGCTTGAAATATAAAAGTAGACAGTCACTTTGGATAAATGGAAACACTATAAATGAATTTTTTTCTGAAATAATACTGGTTCTCGCTAGACAAATTGTAAAACATGCCGGTATCAAATAAGTACTAAACTACTATGATCGTACTTACATTTTCAAATAAATTATAAAATAAGCTAGTGTATCTTTATTGTACATTACATTCTAATGACTAACATTTGCACATATTTTACTACTTATGTGACACAGAGTACAATTACGGTTCCACCATTCTCATTAAAAAGTGATTGTAGAGGAATATGGTAAATGTGTGCAGCTTATCCTTACTTATAAGATAATTTTATACACCAATTTTTAAGATAACTGCACTTACATAATTATTTAATGTTGTATTATTGAGAACTGGACAGAAATTGTTTTAATGGACAAATGTATGTGAATTACTTGTTCAAATTTACAGGCAAGACGCGCACGTTTTAGTGATGTCAGATGAAAAATGTGAATATAGATCTTAATAACAAAATAAACGTAATCACTGAGCATAAACGAATATATAGGACTAGATCGAGTTCCAAAAATATACAACTTTACAATGGGAATGTAAATTAATAAAATAGAACATTTTTTAATAAACAATAAAAAGCTACCATAATATACTTATCGTCTACAAACACACATAGAAGTATTTAAATACCTTTATATCACCTTAGCTTCTAAAATCTATGTAAAACCAACTACTTTCTACTACTATACAGCACATTTTAAAACGCAAACGCAATTAAACTGTTGTCACTAAACCACTTTTAATGCTGCCCAAGATATGTTTAGAAAATAAAGGATGCAACTCAAATATCACAGAAAGATTAGAGAATGTCGTTGTAAGAAATACAAAAACTGGTCATTTCCTAAAAACGTAACATCTCGATAATTGTCTTGGGCGATAATTTTGAGTTCAATTAATACTGGACGAAATCAAACTGGTGGTTCAGGTTTCAAAACTTTCTATGTATCCCTAGTAAAATCATCATTGATAAGGTATTAAGACTGTCTAAACAGAAAAACGCACAACGAAGAGTATTGCGCCAAATATTAATACACATCTCGACTTTTGCACAAATTTTCTACAATAGACACTGAAGTATGTCGTTATAGTGAGATCCACATACTTTTGAGTGCGATAACTTAATGTACAAAACGATTCCATTCACTAAAAATATTGCTAATAGAAATGATCGAAATCTCTTGACAAAGAATAACGGAAACTTTTCTATGCCACATGCATATGGACGGCACAGCTACACAATCACGTGTGTGTATTAAAATACATCTTAAAAAGAAAGCAACGGGTGGAATTTTGGAGGGGCGTAGTAATGAGGTAGAAGCTTATTTCGCCTTAGAATTTGACCGTGTACCTACGATATTTAAACAGTCGCCCTTAGAACGGGAACGTGGCAACTTATCACCTTGAATTACAAATTAACATTAACGCTTAGGTACACCTCATCTACATTAGATGCTTACTTCGTGAGGAGTTATTCTGCGATTCGGCCTTGTACATTCGCATCGCACGCCCTCTTCTATCCAAGATTAGTTTGTCCGCACGAACGAACATACCATGTTTGGGACGACAGGTGAAATAATGGATTCCTTGTACAGAACCGTCGTTCTTCCCTGAAAATTTGTACAATATTACACATTAATTAACAAGTTTTTCTACATTAAGTAATTGTCCGAAAAATTTAGTTACAAATTCATTTTCAGTTATTTAACTAAAATGACGAAAAACGTTTTTTGAAAAGCACCTCCTGTGCACATTTGGGAAAAATCCACCTGCCTACGCAATATATTTTGTGTGCTGTGTTTTCAATTCGCTTTTGTAAGAAGAATCTTCAGTTAAAATTTCAGAAAGTATGGTCCACAAATAAGAAAGTTATTTTTATTTTTTAACACACTATTTCAATTGTTTCTATAGGAAACTACATCCAAAGAGTACCCAAAGTAAGAGACGCAACGCTATATAGAATACTATTGTATGTGTAAGATGTGTTGCCTAAACAATTTTATTGATACATGTAGGATATAAAAAATACTAATATCCCATACAACTTCACTAACCCGGCATAGGCAGAAAAATTTGGGTGCCGATGGTATGTTTTGTATATTTTTACGCCATCTAGATATTTCCATTGTAAAGCAGTTAAGATGCAAGTTATTTCTATGGCAGATTTGTTATTACCTTAGTTCTTTATTTTCGCCGCTAGAGGCCATCCGAGTGTTAAAGGTTTCATTAACCTTACTTCATTCTCTTGTCGCTAGAGTTCACGCTTTGCACCTTGCTCCACAGCTTAATTTGATCTTGTGGACATGTGTGCCCGTTCCTTTTCAATGAAGATCTTGCCTTCATGTTGGTTACGTGCCCATTTTTCTCAATACGCCATTACTTTTTACTTGACTTATTGTCTAAATGAAAAGGGTTCTTTGTAGTGGATACCACCATATTCCTTTGAAGTGTTCCTCTATTTCTGATGTGAAATAAAACCAAGGTTTTGGTCTTAACCTGAACAACTTTAGCGCATCTCTCCTGATTTGATCAGTACTTCCCGGAAAGTCATGAAACGGACTATTTATTTGTACTAGAGAAAATAAGTTGTGGCATAAATATTCTTATAAGTAAGAAACTTAGCATTGCGCTGCCCCTGCGCAAAAACCTGATTTTTACAATATTCGATATGCTTGTCTTTACTAGGCGCATCTGTGGTTAAAATTTAAAAAAAATATCTGTATAAATAAGAAAGGTGATATTGCGCAGTCTGTCCGTGTGCATGATAACTTTGTTTAGAAAAGTTCGATCACTATTGGTGCACATGTTTTTAAGGATATAAGAAAAGTTCAGCTCGTAGACTATCGGGCCAAAAAGTTACAGCCCATATGACTGAGAGGATAATTCTAGTAAGGTAAAGCTGAATGGAATCTTGTGTTACGCAGATGGTTCAAAAACTATGGAGGCACTGGCTGTGGAGTGTACGGAAGCAATTGAGAGGCTCTGTAAGCCTAAGACAAAAAACAACCGTGCTCCAAACCGAAGTATATGCAATCCTGATGGCAGCTGCTCAACTATTAAAAGAGAACCTTACCAAAAAGAAAATCTTTATAGTTATAGACAGCATATTTGGGACTAGTCCTTGAATGCACACAAGTGCTAAAGGCACTAAGCAGATGTAACACTAGTATGGGCACCTGGACATGTGGAAATCGCAAGCAACCAGGTTGCAGACGAACTTGTGAAAGCGGCAAGCACAAAACCATTCATAGGATCCAAATCGCAAGGGAACACCTACTTGAGAAAATTACACAAGAGAAAGTAACAAAGGTTCGTCCTATCCAGACTTTATTAAAGATACAGGTATTCTTGAAGGATAGGAAATACCGGGGAATAAAATGGACCAAAGTGTCGCAGTGCAGGAACCGCCTGAGACCACCCCTAGTAATCATAATTCCGAATCAAAAAATTTGTTTGCGCATGCATTTTTATTAAGATGAGAATGAATTTGTGTTAAATTTGGTTTTCATGTCAATACACAGTAAGTACCACATACTGTTGCTGGGTTCTGGCAAAAATTATCTCTGTAACGGTAGAATATAGAGCTATCCTGGTTAGCTAAAAAGATACAGTATCTGAAAGTGATTATTATCAAAAAAAAATGTTGGTTACTGTGTTTTGGAATGGGGCAGCCGAATTATTGCGCATGCCCAGGCCCACATTCGATATTTGTGAACCGATCCTTCTGAAATTTTAGGGTAGGTTTCTTATGACATTGAAGTAGCCCGTCAAAAATGGATTGCAACGCTAATTTGCTTATTTGTGGCAGGATTTTTTCCCAATTCTAACAGAAGTTGCATCTTACAAATGGGAAATGAATGCAAGTGGAAATGCGCTTTTTGTAAATCGTTTACGATTACTTGTTTAAATTATATTATGTACTTAGGCAATGAATAACTTCTTTGTTACTCTAATACTTTTACATGGCAGATTGTAGTCATCAGTAGCAAGTAAAGGACACATGAACTGCATGAAAATAAAGCAACCACTAATAAAGTTACAGACTCCCTAGGACTGGTCTTTCTCCAAGGAAATGAATTTTCAAAGAGTGCTTTATAAAAAATGTCTCTAGAAAAGGGTATGTTCCAACTTTTGCTAGAAACTACTTACCTTTTGGTGCATCTAATTCAACACCAACCCATGTTCCGCTTGCAAAATCCGTTGGGCCTATATAAGCAACTACCCCCGACGAATTGTATGGACGAATGAGCACACTTTCCCCTATAACGACCCAATCGGGGACGGGTACATCTGCCAATTTGTTAAGATCAGGACGGGAACCGAAATTATTGTCACGATCTTCTACAGACAACAAATTCCTTATTACAAAATAAAAATTCCTATTTACCTACCTTCTAATCTATCCGCAAAATTGTGTAAACTTTCATCGTTATTCGTTAACGTAACGTTCTGTTCTAATTGATGTTGCGCCGCTTTACTTTCGGACAATAGTGGACGGGCCTGAGGAAAAGAAGCTCTCTGCTGCTGAGTTAAATGGTGAGGTTTCGGATTGGATTTCCGCCGACGCGTCACCTTGCCAGGTATCATGTTCGTTTTGTACACACCATTTTCTGATGGGGAATCAGATGTGTTGTCAGATAGCACGCCGGATGTTCCATGGTGATTTGATTCGTTTAATAAGCTGTCATCGCAATTTTGTGGTTCATTCAATTTGTTGTAATGAATTTCACTCTGAAACATTAATCATTGTAAATGCTAAATCGCTTAATGTGTGATACTATGGTCATACAAGAATCACGAGACAATTTAGCAAAGGCAATTTTCTTAGGAGGAAATCACTGTCAAATTATGAGAATAGTAGTAATCCGACTCTGACAGTCATTCAGTCACACAAGGAATGAAATGAATCGTTCTAATGCATAGCTACCTCATTATCAAATTGTTCTTCATCTGCATTAACATCAACTACTTCTGTGACCGGTTTTAAATCGATAGTTAATGGAGGACGGCTTTCAAAATCTGGAGTGTCATCTACACTTATGCTTCGCAAAGACATTGAGTCCTCGCTGGATAGATTTGTAGATGATACCGCTTGAGAGCCATAACCGCTTGAGCTGGCAGATGGTGTACTGGTCTTCGGAGCTAATTCAACCAACGAATCCAATGTTCTCGATGTCGGTAAAGTTTTCCTTCCATTTGATACAGATTTATTTGACCCCTAAAAACAATATTAAAACAAAATGCTGCGAACTAATAATGTTTTACCATATATCTCGTATTGCCATCTTCGATGTAGTTGTATTTTTCCTCACAACTTTCATCTGTAATTAACTCGAGAGAATGCTTTCTTGGGAGAGGAAGCTGTTCTTCGTGTAACGTTGTCATTCGCAATCCCAGTTTCGGATTCGCGGGCGATGTCATTCCTACTAAACAAATTGTGCTTAATTGAAGAAGAAAACGACATGAACGCATGCAAAAATAATACCAATTCACAGAACGGACACCTAAAACTGATGCAAAAACCTAAGAAAAAATATTGCAGATGAACCAATTGAGTGAGTGAAAAATTAATAAAACAATGTGTCAACAGAGGAACAACACTAGCATGCAAGCATACAAGAGGACATACGTTTCACTGTTCCACTTGGCTGCTGCAATCGCAGCGAATTCAGATTCAAACCTAAGTTTAAGAAGGTCGGTCGAGCTGAAATATTAAAATGAATCAGATGCTGGTCACTGCATACAGGTATACACATAAAAATTAAACACCTTTTATTTTCGTGACCGTTTTTAAGGTATGAAATAAAATGTGTTAAACCACTCAAAATTAAAGTTTCTATAGAACCAAGACTTTTGGCCAGTCGTTATTCATTTCATTATCACACCTAACAGAATGACATTTATATTGTCACTATTAGATCAGCTCTGTCCACCTATAATATTTTGCACTCAGACTTTAGGGAATTAGTTCTGTTCAGAATTAAAAAGAATTTAATGTTTATACAGATTATTCAGACTTGATTCTAAATTTCTAAACTAAAACTGTGGTCCTTTTGTTAACAGCCATTGAGAGAGTTGTAGCTTTTATGGCAATATCTCCCCTTTCTTGAATTCTTGAAATGCGGAAAGTTTTTAAAAGGCGCAATGGCGTGTGTTTACGACCGTGTGTGTTTTTTTGTTAATGTCTTCTGGTGCTTTTGCTTTTATTCCACGTGCCTATGTAACAAATTTCATCGAAATGCTTTCGTAAATAAGAAGGTTGGCATTGCGCATGCGCAAAACCATATTTTGAAAACATTTTACTTACATTCCTAGTGTTTACATATATAAATATTTTCATAAATAAAAAAGTTAACATTGCACAGGCGTTAAACCAAATTGTTGACACTGCGCATGCGCAAAACCAAAAATATCGGTATGCGCGGGATCCTTGCACCAAGCCTCTCATATCGCCCACATTGGTTCAGTCATGTAAAAGTAGTACTTGGACCCCGCGACAGAGCTGAGCAAGGTTTGCTAGGAAATACAAAGCTCCGATAAGAACCAGAAAGCTCTGGATATTGCCTAGAAACCACTAAAGAGGACCGGACCTACGATACCCATGAGGGTTTCTAGAACGCTCCGTTTTATGAATTCAAGGTTTGATCTCTAAATTCTTACTTTCCGCTTAGTCTTCGCAAAGAGTAACCATAATAAGAGATTCAACGGCATAGAGAATAGCGTTGCATATGTATTGTGTGTTGCCTAACAAATTTTACTGCTTTTTCTCAATTTTATTGGCGTACGCTACGCCTAAGGAGCTATTTCAAGGCAACTACTTGTTTAGAAGTTTATAAATATCACAGCAGAAATCCCAGCGTTGCCAAATGTTTACTGTTTGCTTGTACTTATTTAGGTATCTATTATTCCTTGAAATGTATGATGTTTAGAGATATGTTATTCCATTCTACGCTTATGGCACAATTTATTAAGGTCCGAACGCTTGTTGGTTTGATTCATAGGTGCGAAGATATGTTCTTCGTGTAACAATAAGCCGTTTTTTGAGCGGTAAATAATAGATTTTTTACTGTGTATTGTGTATTCCCAGTAAGCGCAAGTAATAAGCTCGCTTTGATTACGTCTCTGCCCTTTGTACACACTGTTCGTCGCCCTACCGTCGACGGACGTATGGAAAAGTTGACCGAACTAGATCGTTTAGTTAGAGGAAGTAGTCTAACGAACGATATTTATCTTCCGACTTGCGCGGAAATAAAGGAACATTTTTTTTTAAAAAAAAAACGCCAATAGACGTTTTATTGTACAAATAATAAGATAATGAAAGATTCCCGGGAAAAATGTTGCAATCACTTTTTAATTTTTGCCGGCCAAACTATAAACAATATAATAAATCCAAAATAAACTGCCTCAATTGGATCATAGTTGTGATCGAATGGTTCAGATCAGTTAAAAATGTGAACTGTGGACCAACGCAACCCCTGACGCAACCCCACCTCTTTAAAAATGGTTTCGTTGCGATAACTGAAAAACTACTTGACCGATTTGGACCATATTTTTTACCAGTCGATGTGACTAATGTCCCCTTTAATCTCATTACATTTCAGTCCGATCGACCCACGCATTCCGAAGATATTTAAACGCTATTTGGAGTGGAAGCCAACATTGTTTTCAAAAATGAGAACATACACTGCATTATCAATCGTTTAGATGGATGAATCACTAGCAGAGTGCGCGGTGGCTCAAGTTGAGCGGCAAATTTAAATACATATACTTATGTGTTTTTTCCGCTACTAGCCAATGGTGACTGAAAAACATGTGTACGACGCTTAGTTGCTAGGAGACCGATGCGCGCTAGTGCTGCAACTTAAAATGCGGGTCGAGAGCATTTTTTTCATTGAATTGTTTAAATGAGAATAACGTGCAAATATTTAATTAAATTTATTCGACGGGTGCAGATTTATTAATTTATTATTTAACTGCACTATATATTTTGACTGATTATTGGATTAGACTGATGTTTTTTTTCTGAGGACATAAGGATTATTGCATTGTAATGATTGATTGTTAATGATTAAACAACTCAGCGTATGTAGGCATCTATACAAAATTAAAGCAAACAAAATTTCCTGTAAAATAATCGCTATGCTCATCATAAAATCCAATTTTATGAAATATGTTGTCTACTTTAATTTGATTGTAGTAGACGATCTAAAAAGGATGGACAATAACAAATTTAATTTACATTTTTACAATTGTACCTGTTATTGGTTATTAAATTAAATAGTAATTACTGTCTATTCAATAGACGCCAACTAAACAGGAAAATACCAATGTAATTAACAATAGGTACTGAATCGTTGCTGATTTCTTTTATACTTAAGTAATGTTTTCTAATTATATCATGTCCACATTTTATACAGCCAATAAGAAAGAAAATTAAATGTGACAACCGCGCAAATATTTTAAACCGAAATTCTATAAAGAATTCTCTAAATTTTCAATACGCGGCAATATTTAAAGAGGCGGTTAGTTCTGGCCACTTCTACGCGAGGGCCCGCTTTTGGAATCCTAGCGGGCGAGTTCTTATAGCCAACATGCGTTTATACCATTGCGCTGTATCTCTTATTATGGGTACTCTTTGGTCTTAGTACAAAAATATTATTGTGGCCCCTCTACCCCTAAGTACCTCTACGAAGTTTGTAATGGAGAATAAACTATCGAAAGATAACCAAAATAGTTACTGTTCTCCATAGATCTGTAAGTTTCTTACTTTCCGTTCCTTCCAGTTTATTTCAGACAATGAAATGAGTCACGATTTGGAGAACTGATGGATCATTTTCGCCTATAGAAACCAAATTTCTTCCCACGTCAATGGTATAGGTAGTATGGACGGTATAAGACAATTAAATTACATTATGGACTTTTAAAGTCAAAGAGACCGCTTTGTTTCAAATTCTAACATTAAACAGTCATGCAGGTAGTTTTCAGTCATTTTGCATTCAATATGACAAGTCGTCTCCGATTAGGTAACTAAAGTTTAATCTACTCATGCCATGATGCAATTTTTTAGGACATATGAGGTGTGGCTACAAAGTGAACGAGACTGACATTGCTATAACTTTCTACACTTTCATGAGTCTCGGTCGGATTTTTCTAGCCACAGCACATAAACTAAGAGCGACTGGAACAATACATACAAAAAGTACCAATTGTAGCGAGTAGTTTGAAGGTACGTACTGTTCATACATAGTCTCTGTGACTCTATTACAAATAAATAATAAAGGTTTGCGATGGAAACGATTAATGTGTATGTACTACGAGCGAGACATTTACAATGGTACTTTCGTTGCTTGTAAATGGCAAATTTGGAAAACAAAATTACTTACTAGTCGTGATACAATAAAGCGCATCTTTCTCTAAAAGCTCCGTTTGTTTGAAATTAGGCAATTTCGATTAGTTCACGTAAGGTATGTCTATATGACAATGACCTAATCAAAGCAAAATGATACTTGCAAATGATTGTAAACGACATGCTAATACTTTTCACAGTAATGAACTACATGAACTAACATATATGTTATTATACAGTATACACAGGATTATCGAGCAATGGAGTTGCTTAAATTTTAAATCAATCGATTTTCCGAACAGTTAAGGTTTTGCAAGATAATTCGTATACATCATTATTTTGAGATTGCAAGAATAAAAAACGTTATTCTAATTGATCTCAAAATAGATTACCACTTCTAAGCACATGACATGACTATCAAACAAATTTATACAGTTGGTTTTCCACCTATAGCAATCTCAATATGCAAGCCTCCATTTTACCTGTCAGAATGGAGCCTTGAGTTGGCAGAAAAGATTTGAAAAAAAAATTAGTTAAATAAAGATAATTGCCAATTTTTGGATAAAATAAAGGTTAAAAAAAAGAAGTTTGTAACAGTGTGAATTATATTGAGACTTCTGTGAGTAACGCTGTGTAGAAATATTAAACTATTGCAAAACTCTATATGTGAATATCTATATAATCTACAGCTATAAATTTAATATTTCGTCTAACTTGAACCATGACTGCTAGCGCATTTCAATATAAAAAAATTCTCCGTACATACCGAGGCCAAACGGTTTCGGTGGTGTAGCATCGGGATCTTTGCCAAAGCTGCTGCGCGTGCGAAGAGGTAACCCACCTAATGGTTCGCTATTCAAATCTGTTACACTTTCTGAACGTGGAATGTTTAACGATTCGGTGCTTAGGTCCAATCTCATCAACTGCAAATTTAGAAAATTTCAAAAGGATGTGTGAGAAGTGTATGTAACATTCTTAGAGAAATCGATACAAACTTGCGATAAAAAATTAAAGGCGGCACAAGCTACAATAAAATAATGCTACTGCATCAATCAAACATGTTTGTTCAACTCAGTATTTTGCAATAAGTAGTTGCAGTTTCCTTCCACACTGTGATTATTGTACCAATTGTAGTTGCGGCCACTTTGTTCATACAGTAATTTTTGAATGGAAGTTTTAATTTTTTGTTGTGACCTACAAATTGGATGTTTGAGGGGACCCAAAACAAGTTTTTCAATTGAACCAAGCGCGGGATGAAATTCTTAGCTGGACAGCAATATTACAAAATGTGCTCAAAGCTTTAAGAATAGCAGTTAAAAAAGCATAAGTACCCAAAAACTTAGGTAAAGCGCCATTGGTCCTATTCTTCTGTGTTACGGTTGCTAAATTATAGGCGAACACAAGTTTTGACTCATTTTGAACACAGTGGTATATTAAAAAAGAATTTTCGCTTTGGTCCCCTGTATCACTCAATTTTTTCTTTACATAAACTACAGGGAGATCAATAATCATATGCTGCGCCGCTCTTATAAAATATCACATTAGTAATCATTTGCCGCAACCAGGTATATGTGTACCAATACAAACCATAACCTATAATTTTACAAACCAAAACCATGATTTGTGATTCTTATTCGAATACTTTTGTCCCTTTCAAAACGGCTTTTTTCAAGACTACCCGTTTCTTTCGAATATTTACAAGGTGGGTAAATTACTTGTAAATTACAAACAAACGTTTTTTTAGTTGTAGCGTGTAATAGGCAATAGGTTTACTCCGACAAGCCTTTTACTTTAGAAGAGAATAAGATGCGTTTGCTGTCCTGTTTCCGTAATGGGACTAAAGACGAAAGTGGAGTTTGGGAGTACTCGATACGTTTGTGTATACAGGAGTTTCGATAAACGATTGTCAACCATGACGAGGATTACAACAATATACGCCGAAATGCTCATCGTCTACTTGAGCGGTTTAACATACAGGAAGTCTTGCTTCTGGGAAGTCACCTGGCCGCTTAGTGATTGCTAATAAGGAGGTTGTAAAAGATGTTCTTGCTCGTCTTGAGCAAAGTCGGAAAAAGCAGCTGCGACAATTTGTCCCACTAACGGGCATCTCATACGGAACGTGTGACGCTATTGCCTGGAAAAAAATTGTACTTCTACCCTTTAAAGTAACCGTAAATTAAATTTACGAGATGGTAACGTATTCGAAACCGTTTACAGACCATTGGATTGGATTGGAGTGGATCTCTGTCTTAATAATGGTGGCAAGCACTTCGAACAGTTGTTATAGTGTGCATGTAATTTGCCCAATTACTTTGATATTAACGAGTTGTAAAAGAAATAAAATCGTTTCAATTTTTGTAGTAATTTGCTATTCGTGTAGTTCCACATAATTTGGAAACTTACAAGGGGGTTAAATCGTTGATTTAGGTTAAATATGGTTAAACGTCAAAAGTTTACTTTAAGGTTATGTTTTAGTATTGGTGCACCAGGCCTGATGCGGCAAATGATTACTAACGTCATAATTTATTGAAGCGGCGTAGCAACTCAATATTGATCGCACTGTACATAAGACACATATTCAGAAAAAACCTGCAATTATTACGGTATTTAATCTCAAGCTTAAGAATTTTCAAAAATGGCATTAGCAAAAAAAAAAATCGTACCCCGTTCTTTGTTTCCAGCGCCTGTATGTTAAAAAAAAACAAAACCAACATTAGTTAGCCTACATTTTATTTAAAACAACAATTATGCAATTAAGGCGGAATACAATAATTGGGTTGCGTTGGAAATTAACCGTGTATATCAAATGCGCAAAACGCCTTTCAAAAATTAATCCTGTTGTTAAACGACACTATAGCCAAAAGCACCATGATCCTGACTGGGTCGGCATTGGGAGGGCTAATGGCGGCAGACTGACTAAGTAGGTCGTTCTTCTGGGTAGGCTAAAGGCTAACCAGGCGGGTATGGTACAAAAACACCTGGCCAAGATTTTTGAGCGGCATTTGTTCGTTGTAAACGTTCAGGGATTCTCTTGAGTAGTTAAAGGAGGTGGTTGGGAACCTTTTATAATTGTGGGAAGCTGCCCTAAAGGTAGACCAAGAAGACTGTCTTCCTAGGCTCCGCAAGGCTGCCTTTTGGTCCCATGGGAACCTGACAACCTGGCGGCTCCTAAAGGTGCAGAATTCCTGGGCAAAGGTAGACAGCTAGTGTCTCTCTTCCACACAACCGTGAAAGATCAACCTCAAGGGAGGGTGGCAGTTATCAGCATTGAGGAAGAAGACCAGGCTAACCTAATCGCCAGGGGGGGGAAGACTCAGTTATGGCTTTCCTCTCTAAAGGTGAGGGTAAGTAACCGTACAGAACCAGCGGTTAGTCCACCCACCACAACAACTCCAGCAGATGCTACAAGGGCAACTGCAAGTATCAACGGAAGCATCACCACCCAGGCTACCGGTGGTTAGTGCTTACTCCACTGTCAGCATCCGGGTCGATTACAAACTGGAGTAAGTTTGCGGATATTGAGGCGCTGCTGGAGAGTTGGATTCTAGCAACGCTGGATAAACAATAGACAGCTATTGTCTACATCAGGCATGTCAAACTCATTTATCATCAAGGACCATTTTAAGGTTTCCACTTATAGCTGCGGGCCACATAATAAAAAAGCTCACATACAAAAACTTTGATTTTTTATTATTAACAAAAATGATGCAAAATAATACAAAAAAACGCATAAATGCAAATAATCATAAAATCATTAGTACGCGCTTAAGAAAATGTACCGTGTGTCCTATTTTGATTGAGACTGCAGTGTATTCAGCTGTTTTTAAAGATAAGAGGTGCCACTTTTTGGTGAAACTGAATACCACAAACAGAATCAATCCAACTACGTTTGTTTCTGAGATCTGAGATATAGGGTGAATATGAAAAATTGGACTTTTTGTGATGTTATTACCCATGTAAGACAGAAAAAAGGTAAAAACTGCCTATTTTAGGTATTTTTACGTAGAATCCAGTGACATAGTTAAAAAAATTTGGACAAGCGATTCTGAGATTTGACCCAAATTTGGTATTTTTTAAATGCAACACCTTGTATTTTAACGTCAATTTTGTTGCATTCTTTTTCGCGATTACATTGATGTATCATCCTATATTCTTTAAGATTTTTCAAAATTTTGAAAGGACGTGTTACCGTGAGTCATGTTTGTTAATTGGCATTCGGCTGCTTTAGTTACAATGGTTACAATAAACAAAACAAAATCCCCATGAATCCATGGTCAACTATTGAAAAAATAAAAAATAAGCTTATTATTATGTTTCATCGCTAAAATTAAAAAAAAATAGGTTGGATTCATCAATGTAATCAGGAAAAAGAATGAAAAGAAATTCACGTTAAGTTATACAGGGTGGTGCATTTACTAAATACCAACGTTGGATCAAACCTTAGGAAGTTTATGTTTTCACCCTGTATCTCAGAAACAAACGTAGCTAGATTGGTTCTGTTTTCACAAAACCGCAAGTCTCTATCTTTAAAAACAGCTAAAATACACTGCAGTATCAACCAAAATAGGACACACGGTACAATTAAATTTTATCATTTACAAAAATTGTGATGGGCCACAGGTTTTAGAACGACGACCCGCGTATTTGACATGCCTGGCTACATATATATGTATGAAAGAGAATTATGCAAAACCCGCAACACTGTGGAGTGGCTATTGCTGTTCTCTTAGGTATTCTCTGATACAAGAACCATGGATGTCAAACCAACGGTTTCTGGTCTTAGAAGTACAAAAGGAGCGGTTTTCTTTGATACACGCCAACAAAAACATGTATCTTTAAAGCTCTCCTGCTGCCACACAATTGTGGCCGTGATATCACGACTATACAGTTAAGTTGTGACATCCAGGGTAGACCTGAATTAGTATTAGCATCAGTATATATCTTGATTCTGTCAACCTACCTCCCAGTAATGAGATGGTAGACTCGATAGAGCACTGCGAGAAAAATAACAAAGACCTATTTATAAGATTTGACTCAAATGCTTATCATAAACGCAACTGACACTTGATGTGCTAAAGGTGGTAATGGCGAGGTGTGAGAGTATTCACAATTAGTTGGTGCTTCTACAGAATTGGTGGAAAATGGCCAAATTCCAGGGATCTCCTCTTCATATAGGGGAATACTATTATCAGAAGGCATGTCAGAGTGGCGTTGGTAGCACGTAAGAGTTCCCAACTTAGGATTAAAATCGAGACCGTATTGTGCTGGGGCCATTTAATTTACAAAAAATAATTGTTAGCGTCACAACAGGATTGATTTTTTAGAAGTCGACGTTTTGATCTTGAGCTGTTCTTTGCGAATTTAACTCAATAATTGGTTTGTCTGTGTAAGCTAGTATCCTGGACAAATAGAAGAAGAAGTTTAAACTAAGAACAATGAAAAAAAGGATTACAATGTTACTTTTTTCCAGTAAATAAGATGAGATAATGTCTTACTGGTCATCTTCCAATGATTTAATTACTGAAAACACCACCACAGTGGAATTTGACAATATCTGAATTTAATTCATTTTACTTGTTTGCAAGCAATATCGCATCTATAGTTTTACTCTTCATAATAAAGAAAAAGTAACACCTACTTAGTATACAGGAAGAGTTTTGATTGCCAAACATATTATGCAATCTGTGATTACGTCAAAGTGTAACTTTAAACAACCTAACATAAAAATTCACAGACAAAACAAATGGATGTGTCAAAAAGACACTTCACCTTCATCCTTTACCCAGGCTGAGAACAGGCAACATAACACTATGTTCTAACTTTATATGTATTTAAGAGTGCAGTGAAGTACAATGCTATTCTAATCACGTATGCTCTTCTTTCAATAAAAAGCAGCAATCTATGCTTATTTATTTCAATTTCTGAAATCGTTATGCTTTGCTACAAAAGGACTGCACAAGAATGTATCATTTGCCTTTTTGAAAGCGAATTTTATACACACCACCTACAAAATTTAGATAAAAGAGGAAGCCAAAAACCCTGTGGTGTGTATAATACAGTCAAAGGTTTCCTCGAAGATGGAAAACTAAAAAACTACAAACACTTTTAAGTATGTCATGGCTGCGTTGCATGTTTTAAGTCTGAATAAAGGGTGAAGTAAAGCTATAGCGACCTTCATTTCTGGCCACCTCATTTTGTAGCATGTCCAATGATCCGCGTTCTTTTGTGGCGACATCTTTTAAAACAAACAATTCTAAAAGCAATTCTTAACTGAACCCATTTGTAAGGTCCCACAAGCCAGCAGAGCCATTTTAGAAAAATGAAGGACGAAATACATCAGAATTATAGGCTAATTATAGGCCTTTTTTGGACACTTGAACAAATTTTCAGGCGACATCCTTTAAAGAAAAAAACTATGGCTCTGCTGGCTAAAGACGAAGCTGGCTGACCACTTGTGAGATTTGCTTCGAAGGCGAAAAATTCAGATCACAAAATTATAGGCTATTTATAGGCTTTTTTTAGACACTACAACAAATTTTCAGGTGGTATCCTTTAATCAAAAAAAACTATCATCCAGATCAGTTTGATTTTGATGTAGTGGATAAATAAAAAGCATTTATTTATTGTCTATTTATTGTCCCTCTCGTGTTCTGGGCCCTCATCGGACTTTCGCCCATTTAATATATTTATTTAAACTTTAACTTATATTTAAAAAATCCGATACAACTGAATACCAAACGATCCTCGAGATCTTCACACATACATCATTTTTACAATACACCCTAAGCTAAGGGGTTGATTCTGTCCCACCTGATCAGCATAGCTTGTAACACAAATTTTTTGAAATGGCATTAGTTTTACTTTTATTTGAGGTGCCTGCATACAACATTTCATTTAAATACCTTAACAAATAAAAGAAAACCGACTGCGCATGCGCAAAACAAATTTTTTGATTAGGCATTAGTTTCACTTTTATTGGAGGTGCCTAGATACAGAATTTCATTTAAATGTATTAACAAATAAAAAATTAGGATTGCGCAAATACAAAAGTTTTCATTCTTTTCATTCATATGTTCTTTGTAACAAGAGTTAGAAACCCTTTTTGGAGATTTGCGCAGTTTTTGGTCTGTAACTTTTTGGCCCGTTGGTCTATGTAGCCGAAAAACAATTGCGAACTTTGTTATATCCTGAAGAACATGTGTATATCAATTTGTAAAGCGATCGGACGTTTCTACACAAAGTTAACGTACACACTGACAGACAGACGGACAGACAGACGCACAGGCAGGCAGCAATACAAAATTATAAACGATCTCGAGGTTCGTTAATAATATAATGAGACGAATAATTTTAATTTTTTGTTGTACTTCTTTCCAATTCAGGAATATCGTTTCAACTTTTCTTCTCCTATAATATAAGAGAAGATGCATAGAGAACTCAAGACACTTTTAACATTACTTTTTTTAAAACCTGAAACACAACAACTTGCTATATATTTGATTTATTAGTAAAAGAATCAAATTTCAAATACCTACTTGACAGATGTCTCCAAACAGGTGGAACAATCCCTAACATTAAAGTTACTAGAATCTGGTAACTTCTGCAATTTTTGAGCAGAAAACATGCGTTCTCTCTCTAACACACGGGCCCAACGGATTGCGGTACTTTCTATATTTAGTGACTTATAATGGAGATACAGTGACTGTATACCTACTGTATAGAGGCAGTTTGGTCATACTTTGGTGTTGTTTTTTAGCGCATTTTTGAAAAAAATCCGCTATTATATTCGTCATTGCTGGCAGGCCGGCTGTCCGCGTTAGATCTCCACAACTACAATAGCTAGAGACTTCAAATGTTCACTAAAAGCTTTCTGCTATAGTGTAGATGTGCAGGCACTAGTCTATTTTGAGTTAGATTACTTGTGAGATCGATAATTGAAGAAAATAATTTCGATATGGGTTTTGGAGGTACTATAATTGAACCGTTAGATAGCGCTACCAGTATAAAAACTTATTATTTACTTTGCGATTTGTTTTACAAAATGAAGACGTACCGTCAATTGAAATTAAATAAAATTAATTATTTAGCGCAGCCAAAATGACTCGTGAGATCGATAATTTTAAACTTCGCTAATAAAATACTGATCTGTATTACCAAAAATGCGCTTTAATCATGCATATGCTGATTTACAACTTGTTTATTGGTAGGTGGGATATCCGCCATATTTTAACCAAATAAATCGGGTTGGGAAATTAACTTGGAATCCAATGTGATCAAGTCGCAAACAGTTGTGGCAATAATATTGTAACCATAGAAAAATGCCAAAATCTACCAATTCAATTAAACCGATCAGCTCAATGAAGAATATGGGAAAAACATGGCGGATATAGAGCATATGACCACACTGTCTTTATACAGTCACTGTTAATGGATCGATATTAATTACAAGGCAAAAATTTTGCGCATGTGCACAGCATATCTCACATGTGATCAGCTAGCTTCTTCTTTAGCCAGCAAAATCATATTTTTTTTGTTTAAAGGATGCCGCCTGAAAATTTGTTGTAGTGTCTAGAAAAAGCCTATAAATAGCCTATAATTTTGTAATCTGAATTTTTCGCCTTCGAAGCAAATCTCACAAGTGGTCAGCTAGCTTCGTCTTTAGCCAGCAAAGCCATAGTTTTTTTCTTTAAAGGATGCCACCTGAAAATTTGTTCAAGTGTCCAAAAAGGGCCTATAATCAGCCTATAATTCTGATGTATTTCGTCCTTCATTTTTCTAAAATGGCTCTGCTAGCTTGTGGGACCTCCATTTGTAAATGTATCTAAATAGCAAGAAAAACCGACGTGACAAAAAAAATGTTGGTAGTGAAAGATGGTAACGCATATCTAAAAAAATACACACCTGTGAGAAGTTGGGAACACTGGCCGTTTTCCGCATCAGTGGTTGTCCCTTCGCTTGTAAGAGTTCCTTAACCGCAACACTCTGTCTGAGACGATCCAACGTTAATATACTTTCAACAGCGCTAACGCCACGCGTATATTTTTCTGTGTGGAATAAAAATTAGGCACAAAACGAGACGTACGCACATTTTACCTATGTAAGTTTCGCCATCGCATAAAGAAGTGTCTTCCCCAGAAGCGGCTATTTGTGCCAAAGACTCCCTATCTTCTAATTCCTCACTAGCTTTGGGTATATTTGAAACTACCTCGTAAGTCACCCCAGACTGGGTCAGTACGTGAGAACGAACAAAATTTCTTTTAATGCGATCCGTAATACTTTGCCGTTTGTATATGTTGATGGAGAGACGCTTTCGGAGCACCAAGTCCATTGGGGCAGGATGGGATAACCTTACAATGGTTTTAAGGATAAGGTATACTCTGTCATTTGCTGAAATACAGTTATTTTGTATGGTCGAAATAGAAGAATAAAACTTACGTTCTGTTATCTTGTTGAGATGGTTACTGTCATGAATTGAGGAATCCCAAGAAGCGACGGCGCAAACGTCTTTTTCCAAATGTTGTAGAATGTGTAAGCTATAAAATTTACTGCCAATCTCTTTCGGAAGTATAGAGTTGTGACCCGTTATTGACACTTCTTCCCCTGACTGATGTGTTGATAGATCGTCAGCTAAAAGTGGAATTTTAGTAACAGCAATGACAATGAATGAGTACCGTTAAGATCCAAGAACAGCACAGGTACATATGGTTCCATTCCTAATGGTGGTTCCCACACAGCAGGTGCTCCAGGTATTCCGGAACCGGCAGCTGGGACCAAAACTGCATTTCGTTCTTCAGTCAAATTTACCCACTGATCGACTAAGCTTTGCTCTCTTTCAATGTCTTGTTCGGTTTTATCTAACTTATCTATTAATTTTTTTATTTGCTGCTCTAAGTACTGACGGCGCCTCATCAAGGCTTCACTCCATCTTTCCCGTAACGTAGCAAGATCTTCATCTTGGTACGAATCTAGCGGTTTTTGTAGGCGCGATCTTACCAAAACGCTTCCCACTTCCACTTTGATAATAGACTGGCATATTATGGGGAGTGTGCCAGAATTTTGGACCGGTTTCACTCTGACCTGTATTCGTCTTTGCTGACCTTGTCGAAGTTGGTACACGCCACCCGTTAACACATCCCCTTTATTACTCACTTCCACTGAACTGTACTCCCCTTGATCATTAAGTTCCTGTATTTCAACCCACAACTCTATTTTCCTGGTTAATTCCGACCATCTGTCTGCTAACGATCTTGCTTTGGCAAGTTGCTGCTGCTCTACCTCCCACCCCGGTTTTGTTCTTGAAAACCCCGCACTTCTATGTCCCCACACTTCGATAGACAGAGCACCCTCTGCGCAATGTTCTAAAAATTCTTCATTAATAGGAACAGTAAAATCCTTAATGTCGTCAAATTTAAAAGACATCGAAACCTTTTGTCCAACTTGATGGACATTTTGATGCAGCTCTGGAACCGTCGGAGCAACAACAATCGGATCCGGATGATTCCAAAAGCTATACTGGCAAAACACAAAGTTAGACAGTGACAATGGTAAACCTGCCGCTTGTTTAATATGTACACGACATGTCACGTTTGTTCCGCTACAGCTTTCCTCTTCATCTTGGCTACTATCACACGAATTGTCCGAACCCGCTTCGCATACTCGATCCTGCGGAAGCACGCCCGCGACTCTACTTAATTCAACCTGCAATCTACCAGCAACTTCCCCTTGCTGACTAATAATCGGTGTGTGATAATCTAATTTTACATCGTGAAACAGCGCCTCCAGAAATATATTCGCCACTCCAATCAAGTTATGGTTCTCCTGAGATTCGTAAAACGGATCGATAATATTCAACGTCGCCGGGTCTTCCAACATAATTCCCTTTTCCCGTCGCTCATCGTACATCTCCCTCATATCGATCAATTTGTTTTCTAATTTTTCCATACTCCACACTTGGCTAGGGGCGTTGATTCTTTTCACTAAAATAGCCGGTTCACTGACGAACGCACCTTTCTAAAATTTATTGAAGATGTATTCCTTTGTAGTAAAATGTAGGGTTAAAACAGATGGTGAGACAATCTATTACGTATTATAAAACAAGTTAATTAAGACACGTGTTAGAATCGCTGTTGGAAGAGATAAGGTGTTTGAGGAATTGCGCGTTATTTCGGCGTAAGTGGGGTCGCTTTCCTTCGAAACTAGCGTTTTCAAGTCTACTTATAATTGACGGTTTTTTCCCGCTTTTGTTAGTGCGGGAGCTGTCGACTTGGGTACATCACAAGTTTGTGGAAAGTTTGTCCATATTTAGAAAAAGCCTTTGGTAAGTGCACCTGACTAGATTATTTGGATTCTTTAAAAAGAACTGTACGTGAATCTAAGATTTGTTATTTTGATTATTGACCGTCTGCGTGCGGGGTATCTCTCTTTCATCAATTAATTTACGCTTGGGAAGAATGTTATATTTCTATTACTCTAGTCACTAATCCACTCCGTTAACGCAAAGAGCAAATTAAATAATGTACTTAAGCATCAAAGGATGGGCCACAATTTAAATACAAAGCAGTCGAACCCACCTAAAGACATTAGAAAGAAGTGGAATCAGTATTACAAATCTACGGTTGTCTCACTATCTGTTACTCATACTTAACCACATACCTTTCTGTTGGGGCTTAAATTTGCGGGAGGTATTTGAAGAGTAACGCTAAACTTTGTCTGTTTTCCAACCTCTTCCGCAAGCACGTTCGCTTCTTTAACCAATGTATTCGCCCTTAATATGTCGGCTTTCAACTGGCCTATGCTCCGCTTAAACATCTCATCACGTTCTTGAGCCCACTTCTCCACTCGCATCTGTGTCGTCGGGGTACAAGGCGTCGTTTTGCCAAATCTTAAAGGATCATATGAGTAAGGTGGATAAGGAGTCGATGGTGACATAATGTTACGTAACTGTTGAAATTGACGCTCATATTCTTGCCGCTGTTTCTCTAAGGCAACTACGAAGATATTCGATAAATGTTACTAAAAATTGAAAAGGAACAAGTACCTTGTTTGTCTTCAACGTGTTGCCTTTCTAACCTTGAAATCGCAGCTTGAATCGGATCATTACTTAGCTCGTTCAGCATTAATTCCTCACGAGCAAAGTTGTAATCTATATTCTGTGCGGGAGTTTGAGGTTCAGATGTTGAAGCTACGAGACGTTCATTAAAGATACGATATAACAAGAATAATAGTTACCAATAGCCTTTGGACAATTAATCCGAAAGAAATGGTGATTACCCCAAACAATCCGATCCCCATTTTGAAGTTGCGTTCGCTCCGTAACTTGAGATCCATTTATAAATGAGCGTGCATTAGATAGAGGTTTCATAAACAAGTTTCCATCTTCTATAGTTATAATGCAATGTTCCGGTTGTATTCCCAACCCCGACAATTGAATATCGGCTCCTTTCCCACCAACTACTGTCTTTTCCTACTCAGTTTAGAAGTGTACTCACATTGTTCAAACAAAGCAGTCAAATACTCACCTTCAAATAGTACACTAACAGCTCGTTCAATGACGGATCGGCGTTCAGATTTACTAAATAAAATTTATTCTTTTCTACTTTAATACCCGAATCTTGGACACTAATCCCCATTTTTTCTAATGCCTGCTGTCGTTCGCCCTGTATCCGTTCCGTTTTCTCTAATTTTTCTTCCCAAGTCTGGGACATCTCTTTGTACAGTTTCTCACTTTCGGTCAGTTTTTTGTATATATCGGGCGATCCCTAAGCATCAGAGTGCAATCAATAGAAAGTAAATTGTGTGAGCAATCGGTTCAAAAGTACTTACAGTTGCATGTTTTAACATCTCCTTTAATGCTTCGACTTCTTGGCGTAATTCCCTAATAATTCTCGCATTTGGATCTTCATTGATAACAGCGTGATTAACAATTCTTTTAGCTCTGTCTGCGTATCTTAGTGTGGATAACGTTTCCTCGTAGTTATCGGCAGCTGGAGAAATAGTGGCAACCATAACAGTCTTACTGTTACCACCCAAGTTATCTTTTAATAACCACGTTAACACAGAATCACGATATGGCACAAATTTATCTTTATTTTTCCCCAAAGACTGATCGGCTAATTTAGATATGACTAGTCCCAAAGTGGTTAACGATCTGAAGAAGAAATGAACAGTGAACAATTTCCGTGGAAGAAGTGGTAAACGCATACTTGTTAATATTAGAACCTTCTTTAAGTCGTTCACCAACAGCTCCAGTTTTCACAGCCCTCTCAGAGCCCGCAAGATCTACAAGAGACATTCGGCTCACTTTTTCACCCGATACACCTGATTTATTATCAGTTAAAGTTTGCGTTAAAATTACGGAAAAAACTGCGTGCGACCTGGAAGATTCACTGTTCATATTCGTTGCTGCCACTGTTCTAGATTTATTGCCTTCCGCCATCAAATTGTCAATATCCTATAAATTCAATTTTTAATTTACGGCACCGTATGCTGTAAAATGTAGTTACTTGAAAGGATGTAACAGCTAACTGTGATAAACCATCAACATAAGGCCCCAACACATTGTGTTCTCTAACTTTTAAAGACTGTTTAGTTGTTTTCGGATCTAATAAATCATGCACCTACGATGAAAATGGTAGAGAATTTTTTATACCATGATCGGCTTTACCTTTTCATTGTAAATTTCCATATAACTAACTTCTACTTTATACGAAAGTTCAGAATTTTGTCTTTTTGCTATAAGGTCAAATAAACTGTCACACAGACGGGGAATAATTCCCTTGTTGTCTTGAGCACCCATCATTGTATATGATTTACCTGAACCTGCACAAAAAAAAGAATTATCATATTACTGGTAAATTATTATTGTTTATTATTAATCCTAGTCATCCTTTAAATCAAATCGCGTTACTTCAATAAAATTCTACAATCGTCGTAATCTAAATACAACATACCCATTTGGGGGTTCCAGCCTAAAACAACCTTGTTGAAGTCACACTAATTTGACTTCAGAGCAAATACAAAAATGTGATCCAAACGGAAGAGTTAAGCAAGGAGTACAGGCCGATTGCAAGGCACTATAGCAGAGGTGGCCAGGAGATCAACTGTCTTAAGTCAAAGTCAAAGAATTAGCCCTAGATAGTAAAATTTTCATACCTGGCGCACCCGAGTAACTCTAAGGTCCTTCTCGCCGGACTTAGTGAGACCCCATCTCATCGGTAGTAGGTATACGAGACCCACTGGGTAAAAATTCAGATTTTATAGTTTACATACAAGTTACCCGCCATTCGCTCTTAGACTAATTGCGTAAACCAGTGGTTCTCACCCTTTTAAACACTGCGACCCCCTCTTTAAGTTGAGTATTTTGCCGACCTCCCATATGAATTATAATTTTTATTAAATACATAATAAAAACGTCTACAATAGTAGACCCAGCGATTGCGAACCACTGATGTAAACGTCATGTAGATTGTCTTAGTGAAAATGTATTAAACTACGTATACACAGTACTTTTTTTAATTTGCACTGTTATACAAGGCATTGTTAACATGTTCTAAATGACGCCCGCCATGTTTCCTCAATGCAATACTCTCCTGCACTGATATGCCCTCTAATCCTCTACGGGTGTGCTGTATGAGCCAACAAAATTCTCAGAATTGTAGTCACCACCCCCTGGTTCTTGAACCATCTACTGAGAATAGTAGTGGCGTTTCGTAGTTTTGAGATAGCCGTTTCCAAAGCATTAATTTTTGATAATCAGACTGTGACGTCTGCGTTGATGGTAGGGAAGTCCCGCATGAAGATATTGAAAAGGATTGGGCCTAGGACACTACCCTGAGGAACTGCTGCATGTATATTTTTGGTGGAGGATAGGGACGCATGAATTTTTTAACCCCAAAGCTGCGATTTTCTAGAAGGGAAAATAGTGAGAGTAGTGACATTCTGTATTTTAGACCATTGGTGCACACTTGATCAATACTCAAAACAATACATGTGCTGATGAGATACCCGGATGACAGCAGAAAGGGAACTAGAACCAGGATTAAATGGTATGGAACGAAAATAATGAAATGCGTGAAAAGAGAGTATAGGAAAAAGATAAAGATCCGAATAGGAAAGGACACTTTAAAGGATATAAAGGAATTTTGCGTAAGGTTACCCAACATAATCGTAGAAAGAAAGACAAAATCCAGGATAGCGCAGGCTAAAAAACATTTGAGCAAAAGCGAGACCTGCTAACATGCGCGATACATTTAGGAATTAGGAAAAGGCTGTTAAAAAAGTACATATTATACGGATTCGAAATCTGGACCAGGGGCGGACTGGCACGGGGGGAGGTTGGCGATTGCCACCTAACCTGTAGAGAAACCAATTTCGAAAAAAAATTCAAAGGGTTGTAACTTTTGAAATAGTAGCCCAATCTTGGAACTGTTTGAAATTATGGATTCTACAGACCACATTCTATAAGAAAATTTTTTTTCCGGGGCGATCTGAGACATTTTTTTTTTCGGGGCTCAAAAAAAGGCCGTTATTTACCTTCCTTTTTTTTTTTACCAAAAATTGACTCCACCAAAATTTCTCGGGAAAAAACACTTTTTCTTATTAATTTGGGTGCGTAGAATCCAAATAAATTCGTACTTTTTCGATCAGACTTCTCAGTCAAAAGTTATAGACTAGAAACCAATTTCGAAAAAAAATTCAAAGGGCTGTAACTTTTGAACTAGTAGCCCAATCTTGGAACTGTTTAAAATTATGGATTCTACAGCCCACATTCTATAAGAAAATTTTTTTTCCGGGTCGATCTGAGACAATTTTTTGTTCGGGGCTCAAAAAAAGGCAGTGTATAACCTTCCTTTTTTACCAAAAATCGACTACACCAAAATTTCTCGGGAAAACACTTTTCTTATTAATTTTGGTGCGTAGAATCCAAAACAATTCGTACTTTTTCGATTAGACTTCTCAATCAAAAGTTATAGACTAGAAACCAATTTCGAAAGAAAATTCAAAGGGTTGTAACTTTTGAACTAGTAGCCCAATCTTGGAACTGTTTGAAATTATGGATTCTACAGGCCACATTCTATAAGAAAATTTTTTTTCCTGGGCGATCTGAGACAATGTTTTTTGCGGGGCTCAGAAAAAGGCAGTGTATAACCAGGGGCGCACTGGCCCGGGGGGGCGGGTGGCGATTGCCACCTGGCCTGTAGATCATAATGGCCCGTTGGAAATTTATAAGTATGTGCTGTATTTAGTTTCTTGCACTATTAATAAATTATTAACACGTTTCTATAATTGGGGTTGATGTTAGGTTGTTAAAAAATTCTGTTTTAATTGAAGTGTTTTACAATGAATTTATCATTTTTTGTCGTAGCATGAAAGTGCTGAAATACAATGATAGGCGACGCACCTCGTGTGGATTGTATATTTTGTTACTTTTAACAGCTGCAATTAAAAAAAAACTGTATGGTAATGTATTTTCGAGAAAGGAGTACTTTAAAATGTTTTTGTGGTGCACCTCACAGCTAACGCCCCCCCCCCCTTCATTACTACACTAATACTTTAATGGCCCGTAACCTATGCAATTCCACCCGCAGTTACCCAGTCCGCCCCTGATCTGGACGATAGGCAGTGAAGACAAAAGTAGGATAGAAGCATTCGAAATGTGGTGGTGGGGGATTAGATGGATGGACAGGGTAACGAAGCAGTCATGGGGCTAGTACAGGAAAATAGGGAAATGTGGAAAACCGTACAGAGAAGACGAGATAGAATTATAGGGCACGTGCTCGGACACGGAGGATTAGTACAGAATAGAAGGTAGGTCAGATAGCAAGTGGTGTAGGCCGCCAGAGGCTTAGGCTTAGTTACATAGACCAAATAGTTATAGCGACTATGTAGAAACGAAAAAATGAGCGCAGGATAGGAAAGAGTGAAGGACTGTGTCCAACCAATCCTAGGATTGTGGACTCCAAGAAAGAAGAGGTATGTAATCTTCCGGAGGTTGTTCGAACAATTAGGATGATGTTGAAAATTCGGCGAGTTTTTTATGTCGTTGATTACTTCTTTGTGGTGGAGGAAGGTCTGAGTTTCTTTTTAAAGTGGACATGGTAATTGGGAGAAAAATTCACCGCCTTGTGGGGGTGATGACTTATTTACGGCTATTAGTTATGTGCATGAATTGCGTTAGTGGTTATCACCTTACTCAGGCGTTGATACGTCGTACTTGCAATGTTGAGCCGCGATAGGAGCAAGCACGTCTTTCCTGTTCAAGAGAAAAGCGAGAAGCAAGGGGTTTGAGTAGTATTGTATTTTGTAGGCTTGTGCTCTGGTCTCGATTCATATGCAATATGAAATGTTTTAGATGATTTAGATGTGAATTCCTCAATCCGAATGGAAACCTTCGCAGGCGTTTTTACTCGAGTTTATAATTTGGTTGACAGTAGTTACCTAAAAGCATGTTTTCATGTTGATAAAAGACGAGATGGTTTCCGTACAACATTTTTGTTTATGTTCAACGTAACTGACGTGAAGAGGCGATTTTCCATTCACAGTGTCATCATCCTATTATAATAGCGACGTCCTCCATTATAAACTCAGAGATACATTCAATAAAATAAACTGTTCGGCGTGCCTCTCAGTCGAAAACGAAACAAAAGCCCAAAGTTTTCAGTAAGTGAAGTGGCTACAAAAGAATATAGACGAAAAAGTTATTCTTGAGCTGTTTTGCAGATATGCCATTTAAAAGGGTCCAACTCCACGAAGAATGTTTAAGGAACAGGATCAATATCGCTTCATTTCTATTCCAGGACGAGCGAGAGAATACAAACGGGAATATTTCAGATGTGTTTCGAGTAGGTATGGCATCTACTATACATAGAACTTCAATTCATTTAACACATAAATTGTTGAAAATTGTGAAATTCAAACTAAACGCCGGCAGACTTTTCCTTTGAATGCGTTTTAAACTTGCGCGCCGCTTTAGACTTTAGGCATTCGAGCATATCTCGGATATGAATTCTGGATTCCTTTAAATTTACAAGTTTTTGTTTATTATACCGAAGTTAAGGATTAGTGACATTTCCGTTTTGGAGAACATCACTTGAGGAAGAGGTCGTTGTCAATTATTCGGCCACTACGAAACTTTGTAAAACTTATTTTAAGCAGACGGTCTCTTATGGAATATTTCTGCCATTCAACCCATATAATCGAGCTACATTCACACTTGATAAATAGTGTATTAGAATGTTATCGGTTTATCGATAAGACACTTGACATACGCCGACAAGTAAGTGGAAATGTGACGAAATTCAATGTGTCGGCGTTAGCTACTTTAGATAGATATTGTACATATAAACTTTGCTAGAAAATTTCATGCAAGTGAGCTTTTTCACCCAGTTTTAAGAACACGACGAGGAGAAGCCGCAAGCTTAACTAAAAAAGCTGGAAAACTTTATGCAGTATGGGTGCAAACATTTAAGTCCTCGACCTCAGGAGATGTTTCTAGAAAAACTTTAATTTTTAAAAGTTTTGGGGTTTTCGCGGTTCTTTGAACTGTCAAAATAACTAGTTATTGCCCTTCCAACGGCACTCATTTGATTAAAATACCAAACAATCACAATCACAATTTACGCTTTGTAAAACAACGATTCGATATTACATCAAAAAGTAGAAAACCGAAAAAATCAACTGAACAATATAGCGCGGTGGATTTTCACGTAATGAATTTGCAAAGGACCATCTACATCCGTAAAAAAAGTACAAATAAAAATAGTTTAAAAATTGTCTTGACATAATTTCCCCGCAAAATCCAAAATTGCAATAGAAAATTA